GATGCTATGTCAAATGTGAGGATTATTATTATTATTTGGTTGTAGCTTGAAATTTTTTTGTTCTTCTCGACTGTCATCGATGTCAGCTCACACAATGTCTGTCCATAGAGGTATTATTTTCGCTGTGTTTTTGGTAGGGGGCAAAGAAGGAAATCTACAGAGATAGCCTCATTATGAAAGGTTGTGTGTTTGAGATTGAAGGGCAGTCTCTTTGAAAGTTTGTAAACTTATGCTGTCCATTAAAATTATTAATTATGGCGTTTGACTATTCTGAATTGTGTCTGGTGATGGAATTAGCTGTTAATGAAACTAGAATTTATTTTTAGTACAAATTCTGCTGGTAGTATTTGTCTTATGAAAGACACAGTGGCAAATAGTGGGTGTATGATCTTCCAGTTTAAAACAGATTTATGTGACCGAGCCAAAGCTTTGATGTGTTTTAAAATGTCGCAACTATATACAGCGTGTTATTGTTCCCCTGGGTTGTGACCTGTCTCTGAAGTGAGAGCCCAAATGCATAACAGAGGGCCATATTGTAGGGGTCAAGAGAGATCGCTTATGGGATTAGTTTCATAGACTGTTGAGGAGAAACAGTACTCCTAAAATGTCCAAAAAGGTAACAGAAAGTAAACACCAAACAATACTTTTAGATACACCAAGACCTGCAGACAAAGGGGCACAGGTTCAAGGTTGTGAAGTGCTTGTTTAAGACAGACACCAGGAAGTGTTTCCTTATATAGCTAGAACAGCTGGAATGGGTTAACAAGAAGAAGGTGAGGGTTGAGGGAGGTTAAGAAAGAGCACCAGATTTATTTAGGAAAGAGCTTGATGATGTAATGGGAAAATCGTGGGATTGGTTTTCCAGCAGAATGAGATCAAATGGGCCAGAGAGCCTTTTTCATCACAACTGACCTTGCAAACTTGTGAAACGTACACAGTTGTGCAGCTTGAGAAAGCCGAGGAAAGTAGTAAGCTAGTGCGAGGCAAAAAGAGAACATGGGGGGGGGGAAGTGGGGGGACACAGAGGCTAATTTACTGGAAATTGTATCAAAAGTCTCATTCTTTTCGCCAGCACTTGTTATTCTAGAGTGATGGATGTTGTGGTCAATCTCCAGGATCAAAAAATACCAGCAAGTTACAATAATCAAACTCTGCTACAGGAGCAAACAGAAGTGGTTGGCCTGGAACGTGTGCAAACACACGTGTGAATTTGAACAGCAAACAATTAACCAATGAAGGCTGCCTTTGACGAAAAGACCGTTCAACCACATTCAGTCGCTTAAAGTAAATAATAATAATTCTTGCATTTCATTCTTGCACCTTTCACATCAGGAGAATATCTCAAAGTGCTTCCCTTTGATCTTAGGGATGGATCCATTTTACAAATGTATTAAAGTCACATTTATTTTTATCATTGCCATTTCCTTCTCTCTACATGAAAATATAGGAGTCTCACTATGTTCGAATACTCAGCGGAGAAAAGATACTTGGTCTCATTGTTCTCTTAGGAACCGCTGTTAAGAACTTGTAAGGATTAAACCTATTTCTACCAGCACGAGGTGGCAGCTGACTGCTTTAGCTTCAGTACAATGTGGACATATCAACATTCAAGTGGACCACCATGAGTAGTTATGGTACTGAAAGGATATTTTCCTTAAACAAGCAACAGCAAGGTGTGAGGTTCAGTCAAATGAAATAAATGAGACAAGAGAACTGCACCTGCCAGGCTTTGGTGCATCATATTCATTACACTATCATTTCCCCCTCGGCCCAGGGTGTTAACATCAAGGCAGTTCATTTCCGATGAATATTGATGACATTTTCACAGTTGTCAAAGGTGATAATTTACAACAGTTGCAAGAAAAAACATGACATCAGTACACATAAAATATCTCTTGTCAATATATCATGGTGGATACTAGGAGCATGGCAAGTTTAGAATTACTTTAACCTCCAGCCCTACCATGTAGGTTAATAGTATGTAACAGCCCAATCGAACTGTACTTACAGTCCTTGAAATACACTCAGTCAATAGCCTGGCTCAGGCGATAGCACTCTCCACCTCTGAGTCAGAAGGCTGTGGGTTAAAACCCCTCATTGAGACTTTGAATTTATAGGTTTAGGCTGACACTCCAGTGCAGTGATGTGGGAGAGCTGCATTGTTGGAGGTGCTGTCCTTCAGATGAGATATTAAACCAAGGTCCCATCTACCTGTTCAGACAACTGTTAACGGCTGCTGTATGTATCTACAAAATACAGTCACTAAACATTACAGTATATCCTATGAAGCACTTTGAGATATTTTCCTGACGTGAAAGGTGCTGTACCAAATGCAAGGATTAATCTAATTTCAAATGTACCAAAGCACTAATCCTGAATACGTCACATCTGAAGCAGTCGTGAGAAGACCAACACAATTTCCACACTTACAGCTTATGCTGAATTGAAACAATTCTTATGTATTTTGCAAAACTGCCAAGAGGCTCAAATTTCATAATAGCTCCATGAGTCACTCATGAATTAAAATGTATTTGATGCCTTGGATTTTAATGCATCTGGAAAGTATTCAAGATGTCAAAACACTACATAGGCATCAGGAAGGAGTAATGCATTGGAAAAACAATGGGAGCACGATAGCAGTGGGAGGAGAAAAGGGCTGCAGGTTTCATCTCCCCCTCGCATGAAGCACTTCTGTGGGAAGGGAAATGATCGTAATAGAGTTGGGAACCTTAATTATTGATGCCAGTGATCGAGGCATGAGAGCAAATAATAATAATAATCCTTGCATTTAATATAGCGCCTTATCATGTCTTCGAGACGTCTCAAAGCGCTTCACAGAATATACTGTAAAGTGAATTGACTGTATATTTTGTGGGTGAAATGCGACAATCGATTCCACACAGCAATGTCCACAAACAGTTGTGGATTGAGTGAACAAATTATTATTTATTTTATCTGAACCCAGTTCCCAAAGGCCCTTAATTCAGCAAGGGCTACAAGATAGTGCTAGGATGAAATGAAAATCAGTCTAGCACAGAAGACATGTAATTCTGAATTTGGGGATAAGGGATTTTGCTGGACATTAAAGTGGAGCCTATATTGTGTCTGAAATTTTAGATTTTTTTTAACACTAATATCTTGAAAAGAAAATTGGTCAAAAAATTACTTACATTTTTTTTCCTTTTATTTTAAATTTCCCAGCTTTATGTATATATGTATATATTATATATATATAAAACATTTATTTTTATTGCTCAAAGGTGAGGTTCTGGAAGGCATATTTCCTAATCCAGGCTCTCAACATCAAGCAATCATTAGTTATGAATTTGATGCTCAATCTACTTCAACAAATAGTAGCAAGTCCTAATGTGACATTCTCCACTTCTCTTACCTGTGGTCTCCATAAGTAAGATTGTCAATTTAGTGGTGAATTCAGGGCGACTTTGTACTACGAGTTGAGGCTGCCTCAATTCATTTCACAAAGGATCCTTACAGCAACAAACAAAGAAGACTTTCATATCATGAGCAACGACTGGATAAACTAGGGCTCCTCCGTCCTCCAAAGAGACATCTCAGTTGTTATTTTACAGAATCTAAATGCGATTGAGAAAGTAAAACCAGAATAGTATGTACAGATACATCAAGCAGCAGAACAAGAGGTCACATGTTCAGGAATGCAATAGGTAATTTCAGGACAGAGAACAGGAAGTTTTTTTGTCACACACAGGGGATAATTAATAACGGGAACAAGTTACCACAGAGGGTGAGGACCTGGACTAATATAATTCACCTTAAATTCCAATTATTTAGTCTCCTTCCCCATCTCAACATTCTGAATTGCCTATAATAGAATTATTAACCAAAATAAGTTTACTACAGTTTTGTGTGTATAATCGTATTGGAAAACAGTTACCATTTCCACTCAGTGTCATTCAGTGTCAAGCTTCCAGGTCAGGTATAGCACAACTATAGAGTGAAACCTGCTCTATTTCCTCTCAATAAATTGCCTTCGCTTTAACTCAGGGGATCAAACTCATCTGGCTGTAAGGGCAATTTAAGTTAGCGATGTTGACTTGTTGGGCCACACCGTAAAAAAAGTAGGACATAATATTGCAACTGAAAATGATTGTGTGATTGATATTGTATATATTTGCTCAAATATACCAATTTGCACAAAACATTACCTTTCCAGTAAACTCCACTTCAAATCCTTTGCTTTGTTCAGTGTGTCATTGTCCTGATGTATGTTATAATCATTCATAACTGCAACGATTTGCCTAGTCACAATATTCAATAAAAAATAATCTTCTGTCCAACAACCTTGGATTCTCCGATGTTTTTCCTGCTTGCACCTTTCTCTTCGTGACATCTCAAACTATATTTTGGCAACTCATTTTAAATTTAATACAAAGTGAAAGAAATACAGTTTAATATGGCTTCACTTCGCTATACTGCGAAGTGAGTTGTCATTGGCCTAAAGGGAATGGCACTCATGGAATGCAGAATGTACAGGTTTGAATGTATGTCTTATATTACAAAGGAGAGGGTTGGTTTTTTAAAAAAAATTACAGGACAGTACAGTAAATCAATGCAATTTTACAAAGAAGGTAGGCCACCAAATATAAATTATGCTTGACATCCTGCTCTAACTTAAGAAGGGTATCTATCTCTTGCATCAGAGGAAACAAATTCAGTTTCTGCAAAAGCCACTCTTATGCTCTGAGTTCTATTTCCAATTTAGTGCCGACATACACTGAATTGTAGGCAGTCTTATACTGTGGGCTCAAGGCCACAAGTACAGGGTAGAAACCGCACAGGCCAAACTCACTTTATAGCCAACAAACAGACACTGGCGGCAGCAGACTGGGCTGGATTTGAACCTAACCTTGAGGAAAAGAAGGATAGTGTGTTAATACATTACACCATCAGGTCCCTGTATTATCTTCAGTGCCAGACCTTCCTATAATCTCGACTCCACACGATGTAGAGCGAGAACACAGTTTGCTTAAATAAGTTTTTTTATTGAAATCTGATAACTATCAGACAAAATTAAAGCAAAACCAACCTCGGTTGATTTCAGGAAGGAAAAGCAGTTATTAGAAAATAAACATTCTGAACTAAGGTGCGTGCTACATTACAGACAGTTTAAGTATACAGTGGTTTTCCTTCTGCACGTCATGTAACACACATTGCTCGTTGAATAATTCTGGATCATTGCTGCTTAAAAAACCTGCACCCTACAAAAATAGTTGAGAGCAATTTGGTAAAATAAGGTGCATCTTCACTTATTAAAAATAAAATGATATTGCACAACTCCCTGTCAAATAAATGGCCTAATGCCTTAAAATAGTAAACTATTTGTTTGTTGAGTTAATTGCTCACCAGTAAAAAACATTACACATTGAAGTACCAGAGTGCATTTGAAAAGGTGTTGAGCAGTAAATTGTTGAACCAACCTTTCTTTGTCCAGAACATAAAATCTTTTGGGTACATGAAAAAGCCCAACAATTCCACTGTTCTGACAGATTTTGGCAAATGACATTTGATATCTGTGTGAAGCACATTGCACTGGTGATAAACAGGGCTAGTTTATCAGTCCACAATGTAATTTGTATTCGACTATCCCGTAAACCAGTTCTACTATGAGAAGTCGGTGTATCCCATCTCTGTACAATTGATGCCAAGGACTCTGAGCTGCCAGAAATACAAGATTTTCACATTCACAACTGCAACCATTATTTTGTTCGTTAAATGATTACTGCTTCTTTCGCATATGCAAAGTATTTGTGAAGTTTGTCATCATACCAGGGAAACCCTATGCTCAGTGTGAAAATAAAAGTCCGTTTTCACCTTGCTAAAGTAGTACGCATCTAAAATAAGCAGCACAGATATTTCCCAATTTTGTTTTGCCAAAGTCATTCAAGGCCTTTCATCTGAATCCAATATGGAAGGATTGGAACGGGCATATCAAGCTATTAATCCCCAACGTCCCCATCTCTGTCTCCAATCAGCCACAGAATATTGAAGCTGATTGCCAAGAGGGCAGTGCCCAACAGATCACCAAGGGCAGTCAGGTAAGGAATGGAGAAACTGTCAGGATCCTTTCCCTTTCTCCACATGTAATGAACCATCCAGTCAGCAGTGCACAGCAGGATAGATACCTGGAACACACAAAAATGCCACTTAAAGGGTTAATCAGAGCAGAAAATTCGCCCAAACTGCAATATATATATATATATACACACAATATGTCCTTTACATGTAACATGCCATTTATACTTAAAAATGCATTGCTGTCTTGAAGAATTCTGAATAATCTATATCCAAATTATTTATACCCCAAAAATTCCTGGCAGAATTTGCATTATTTTTCAACATAATTCCTCCATAATGAATCTGAGTCTTGCAAATAGCTTCTCCTACTGTTAATTTGAAGTGTGGCAGACTGATGCACAAGAACGTCAGTGAGACACATCTCTTTCTGAAGCAGAGTGGAGTTGATGGGAAATAAATATTGCCAATTAAGGAATGTAATTATGAAATATTACAAGTCCCCTTTCAGTAGAAGATTACAATATAATATAATTTACAAGTCACCAGGAACTTTGCTCAGTTTCCAATTTTCTTTGGCTACAATACAAATTTACATTTATATAATGACTTTCATGTCAAGAGGAAGTCCCAAGGCACTCAACTATACTGGCTACAATCCATAAGAACACTCAATAAAATTCATTTTCATCTGGCTAAGTTTTCTAAATAATATTTTAAATAATAAATAATATTTTACTGCTGTTCAAGAACGGAAATAAGGTTAGATACCCCTCATTATGTGCCCAGAAAATATGCAATACTAGAACACTTGCATTACACTTTGTCATTTTATATTACTCTTACATGAATATTACAACAACAATTTGCATTCATATAGGGCCCTTCACGCGGGGTAGTGTCCCGGAGCGCTTAGAAGCCCATTGAAGTTAATACATTTTCCTCCTTGATATAGTTTTAAGTTTTATTTTTACGTTGATGTAGTTTAAAGTTCCTCCAAAGAATCAGTGATTCACTTACAGAGCTGCAGAGCCACAGGTGACCAGGAAGGTCAAAGATGTAAATACTAATCTGTGCTGATTTAGCTGATCTCAGTTAAGGTGGATGAGATATCTGCCTGTTCGGGTAGATGTTAAAGTTCCTATGGATCCTCTTTTCCGCTACTTGAAAAAGAGAAGGGAATTTCTCCCGGTGTCTGAGCCAACAAACCCCCAAATAAAACTGGTCATTCATCTTATGGCTACTTGTGGGATGCTGTCATATGCAAATTAGCTGTCATGTTAGTTTTCAAAATACAGTCACTACACTTCGCAGTATATTCTGTCAAGCCCTTTGAGGCATTCTTCTGACATCAAGGGAGCTTTATTTAATGCAAGCGTTATTTATTAGGATTATTATTGCAATCAGCCTCACTGCCCCTGAGTTTGGAAGAGGAGAATTCAACCATGGCCACACTTCTGCTTGCTCTCCATCAAACCCCGATGGAAGTGCACACGTACGGATTTCAAATGAGGACAGGATGAAATATGGCTGTGACATTTCCAGTGATCGAGTAACCTGTCAAGGTTTCACTGACAAGCTCAACATGAATAATGGCACTCGTGGGAGGCTTTAGACAGCACTCGACGCTATGAACTGTGCCCTGGTTAGAAACAAAACAAAGGAAATAAAACACCTTCAGGAGAGGAGAGAAGTCGCAAGCGGAGGGAAGAACATTCATCAGAAAAATGAAAAATAACTAAATCAATTGGGTGAAACTTGTGATGTTTCTTAACGGTACTGAGAATTATTATTGCATTGAGCCTCCCTGCCCCTGAGCTTGTGAGAGGAGAGTTCAACAACGCTCAAATCTGCTAAAACCAATCAAATCTCACCCCAATGTTTCCCAATATATTAGATTCTTGGAAAAGAATTAAGAACAAAGAGAAGAACAAAACCAACAAAAAAATACATTTATATAGCGCCTTTCACGTCAGGAGGACGTCCCAAGGAGCTGAAAAAACACTAGTATCTACTTATCTCTCTGTTCTTGCCCTACCCCACTCCTCGGCTCACACACTTTACTCAGCAAACTCAAGCTTGCTGCTCGCCCCCTGCCCTCTACGTAACATTTATGTCCTTCAGATCCTATGGCCTTAACCTCTAGAATCCCCTCTCTCTACAATTCCATCTCACTCAGTCTTTAATTGCTGCTTTAAAGCCTACTTCTTCGAACACACCAATGGTCAAATCCTCCTTCTACTCTCCTTTGCTCTGGGTTAAAACCCACCCTTAAAAATCACCCTGAGATATTATCCTACGTAAAGGGTGCAATATAAATGCAACGTGTTGTCGCAGAAAACATATTACTTCTACAACAAAGGACAGAGAAACTCAAGTGAGATAAACAAGACACTGTCAGTCATTAATAACTGTATTTGTATTAAAAAAATGTGCAGTTCTTTTTTTAAGCTGTAATTTTAAATGCGGTTACGACTGAGCCATTGAAATAAAATTAGCTTTCATCATCCTACGAACACCTGGAAATGCATTTTACAACCCTCGGATTTTTTTTCAACACCATTTCAAGAGATTGAATCGGGTTAGTAAAACAGCGGGTGAAGGAAGACAAGCAAGTTATTCTAGTCATAATACTAGTCCATGTAAGTTATTTAATGATTCTGGAACAAACTTTTTTTATAATAATATTTTTATAATAATTTTTTTAAATAATAATATTTTTATAGTATTATTAGCCACATGAGTGAAATTAAATGTGGACTATAATCCCATAATAATAGTTCACAACATCTAATTTAATTGGAACCCAACTCCGGCACTTGGACAAATCCTGTAGTGTTTCCTTTGAGATGTATTCATACCGTACTTTCGCCGACATTTCCACAGCACACTTTGCAGTATAAATGGAGGCTAAGATTCTGCAAATCACGCTGAAACCTCGCACCTCAAACACAGGGTTCATTCCCTGTTGGTCAGTTGAAGTTGTATGATGCAATGGATAAGTCAAGTCCAAATCTTTCACAGGAATTTTTTTTAATGTGACAAAGTTTTGCTGCTTTCACTACAGCAAGAGTTAGAGAACTTCACTGGAAGAAGAATAATCCTTGCATTTGATATAGCGCCTTATCACGTCTTTGAGACATCTCAAAGCGCTTCACAGAATATACTGTAAAGTGAATTGACTGTATATTTTGTGGACAAAACGCAGCAGCCCGATTACAGGGAACTGCTAAGACCCCTCACATTATCTCCCTGCTACCTGGATTAGTCTTGTTCTGCTAACCCACAGGAGTTCAAACGACAGGAAGAGGAGGCATCATAAACCTAATAGAGTATAAGTAAAGAGGAAAAGTAGGATACATAAAAAACAGAAATCTAAGATCATGGAATAGGCATAAATTTGGGCCAGGGATAGATAAGAAAAATGGGGCTTAGTGAAACGGATGCTTGCTGCCCAAACCGTACAATGGTTGGATCTAGTTAACGTGGAGAACTGCTGAGTGATGTGTCTGGAAGTAGAGCAGTCTCAAGTGGGAAGATGTGGAAGGAAAGGTTATGTAACTAATGCAAGATCTGTTTATTCAGCATTAAATTTTTTTTACCATAAAATAGACACATTGTACACATACACCAGCACCTCATCAATAGGCAACTGTGTAGAGTCTAAATTACACTATTTATATGTCAGAGACACAAATCTAGCTACATATTTAATTATGTGGTTTACTTCATTTTTCACAAGCTGTGTATGTTTTCTTTGGAGGGCTTGATGCAAAATGTCTGACTCAACTCTTTCTTTAAACCTGGACTCAAAGAAATTAGGGTATTATTTTAACATAGTGCTGCAAAGACACCACATAAGTAATGTCAGTTACAACTAAAAAGGTCTCCGTCTCATGCTAGGCTGAATTTACAAGAAGTTTTTTTTTCATTCAATAATTTTATTTTTTACAAGGAGAAAATCCCTTTTAAAATTACACAATCCCAATAATTAACAAGACTCTTCGAAAAAGGTAAATTAATTAATGAAGGTCTTATGTCAAATTTGAAAGGATTTGTTTGCCTAAGGATTAGGGAAGGGGAAATTGAATAAATTGTTACAGATTTGTTTGTAAGCATGCACAGAGGATGTGAAAATTATTGTGCCTGGTCCTTGCCTCCTCAGCAGGAAACTAATGAAAAGGCCTTTGAAATGGTTTGAAGCACAACACGTATAGAATGATGACCACTTTGTCTCTTGCGTTGATGAAACTTGGCATAAACTTCTTACTCCACCGCAAACCTACAAATTCAAGCTACGCCTTGAAGGGGAATGTGCTGTCTTGCTTTTGTTGTTCGATTATATCGCACTGACTCCCAGCTAGAGGCAATCTTCAATGAAATATTTATGAAAATGGGAGGTGAACGCATTTCTTTTTTGCAGTGGAAACATCATTCGGGTCTGCAACAAGCTGATATCTACATTTAGGCTGAAATTTGTTTGAAATAAATCCTTTTTGATTTTGTTTCAATCATTTTGGATTAAAGAATTAAAACTTCCAGTTTGCCTCGTTTTTTAATAATGATCCAAATCTGTCCTCGGTTTAATTCATTCAAAAGGAAATGTTGGTGAGTCTTTCTAATTCTTCTCCTGCAGTAGCTAACATTATAACAGTTGAGTGATCTACACTTTTGCCTGAAAGCTGCTCTCCCAGATTCCCCAGGAATCTCATAATATTTTGACCAAACCTTAATAATAATTCTAATTTCAAAAGTTTCACTGCTGTATCTCGGTTATTGCGGTACCAAATGGATTCCTCAACAAATTGCTTAAATAGAAATTTCTGCTGGTAAATGGAAATACAGTCCCTCAACAATGCAGGCTCCCACCAGCATTACAATGGATTTCCAACCTAGACTATATGAGTTCAAAGTCCCAACGTGGGCTTGAACCCATGAGTTTCTGACTCAAGAGGTGAGAATGCTACCAACAGAGCCAGGCGGACCTACACGATAATGGATTATAATGGCAATGATAATGGACGGTAGTGTTAGGAGGAATCTTCAGGATGGTAAATTGTTCCACGTGGGAAACTGCAATTGTGATAGCCTGAGGACAGATCTAGATTGCAGAAAACGTACCTTAAATCTCTATAATCTAATTCAGTTTAGAATCACTGTTCATCTAATTGTTTATAAAAAGCCTGTAGATTACAGCAGGAAAGGAAGGGGAGGGAGATACGAGGCTCCATGGTCCTGAGCTCCAGGAAGAGTGTCGGAGCTGGAGATGGCATAATGAGTTTGCATTTCAGCACAGTGTGTAAAAAAAAATTTAAATGAAATAAATTATGAATCGGTTAATTAAAAATGGAGCAAAATAGCAACTCAGTCTATAAGGACATTTTCATTTGCTTTGTTCATCCAATAGATGAATTACTGCACTTAAACCTCAGTAACTTCTATCAAACGACAAACAAACTAAAATATTGGAGACTTGAAAGAGTACCGATGGGTTCTCAGATGGCTTACCAGCTGCTTGTTAATTTGTGTTCTGCGCTGTACAGGCGTTATATAATATTTGTGAGCTGGATACGTGTTAAATGATATTGTTTTTGCTGGATGGGTTTCAATAATACTTCTGTTGTAGATTCTCCAACCCGAATCAATAATTCACATGTCACCTCACACTCACAGTCCTGCTGATCACAAGCGCCAGTTTACAACTAGCCAATGTGCAGACTAATCATCAGTGCTCATTGAGTGCTGGATACAAAAGACGTTGTGTGTCTAAGCAATGACCTTGCATGGGGCTGGCACTGCTCTCTGTTTCTGCAACTGAGCTAAAGATGTGGGACTAAAGATCATTTCGTAAAAGCAAATGAACACAAATGTAATCACATAGTAACTTATTTTAGTAAAAACCTACAGTACAGTATTTTGCTTCCTGTGTTGAATTTCAGACACGATTTTCTTAAGTGTATCCTACTGCCTGCAGGGTTTAATTTTATTTCACCTTCAGTATTTGGCAACGTGTTTTGCAGTAATTAGCCTAATGTAAATCTAATGCATTGTTGTTCAGGGAATGGCTGACAATCAAATTACATGGCAGCTTTATGTTTATTTATTGCTTAAGATGCAAATCACGGTGAAAATTTATCCGTGCAATTTAATTAATTATTTATTTTTACTGAAATAAGCAGAATTTTGCTGACTTCCCAAAGCCTGACACGCTTGTAATATTTCATATTGAGCCATCATCCTGAAAGAAATCATGTACACCACTGATAGACCCTAAGCCTCTGCAATGTATATAGGCACTGCGAGTCGAAATGTTATTAGAATTCAATTTGACAGAACAGCCCCAATGGTGCACTGCAGAGCATAGAGCTGCAGCTTACAGACCCGAGTTTGCTGGTTCAAATCATGCTGGTTTGTCTGTGCTGTGTTTGCTGATCTCAGCTGAGCCTATGTGTGTGTGTGTGTGTGTGTGTGTGTGTGTGTGGATGTGGGGGGGAACCACAATGTGGGAGATGGGGAGTAAGCTGGGTCTCCTTGGGGCTGAGCTGACTCGAAAGTGATGCACAGCAACAGGAGGTAGGAATCACGTCAACTCTCAGTGGTGGTCTTGCTCGCCCTGTACGTGAGCCAGAAGCAACCGCAGTACTCAAAGGAATTGTTGATTACAGACCAAACAGCCTTGTTCGTCAGTAGGACTTGGAGGTGCACACTGCAGGCAGGGATTCTTACCCCTCAGCTCCTATTAATCAAACCCTAATGGGTAGGGTGGTCCAAGCAATGGGAAGTTGGACAAGCAATGGGAAGTCTGCCAGGCAGGGCTCTCAATGGCAAGCTGTGCTGTTTTCAACTGGTTAAACTCCAGCAGCTACCTCAATGTACATTCTGGGGTCCTTAAGCATTGGTCCTCACCAACCTGTGCCTAATTCTTTCTAGGATTAATTACTCAGGGTGAAACCTTCTGGGGAGAGAGTGTGTACTCCATTTTAGACACAGGAACATTTCCATTTCCAAAGTAGCAAAGTTCGAGTGCTCTTGAACTAAACAACAATAGTAATTTGCATTTATGTATGACCCTTCACATAGGATAACCTCTTGGAGCACTTCATGTGGATGTGGTATACATACTGTACGAGGCACTCTCTAACTAACTGGTTTGGATACTCTTAAGCATGGTGATGGATTTCATGGAGCTGAATGTCGGGTGTGTCCAGCTCACAAAAAAAACAATTGATATCTCCATTTATTAGTAATAGTATGTGCATGGTATTGCTTGTTGTGGGAATACTGGCATAGTGTTTATTTATTTTGTAATAAATGGTTATTTAACTGCAGAGTTGATAAGATTCTAGCTCTCTGTCAAATTCACCCGCGTGAATATTTTTCAGCTGTAAACCCAGGCACTTTGAGACTGTTTGACTGGTGGGGAGCATGGCAGTTGAGCCCAGTGCTATTCTCACCTGACATCAACATGTTCACATTTTCCAACAACAATATTGACTGCCCTGATACTTCCCAACCAGGTATCCTGCACATTTTCCAGCAGACACTGTGTTTACTGGAAACTGTGTCCACATCAAAGAAAGCAGGTAAGTGGAAAGAAAGCCATGAAAATAAATACATCCACACACTGCTGGCAATATTTCTCCAAAACACAGCAGCAAACAGCTGAGAACACTTGTCAGAGGATATGGTTTGGGAGAATATTCTTACAAATAGACTATTTCTTGAAAAGGGTTGAGTTCTCTTCGAACAAGCGTACACTGTGAGAAACCTCACCTCAACTTCCACAATAGTTAGGCAGGACTGGCTAACTTTCCTCTCACCCCCAGTGACCAATTCATCTCATCAGTCAACGACACTGCACAGGTTTACACATATTCATCGGTTCAGTGCCTAGACCATCAAATCAAGCTAAAAAAAAACATTGGCTAAGGGATCTACAGCAAAACATCCTTTCCTTAAGTACACAGGATGACAGTAAACTGCAGTACATCACCCCAGATTCCAATATAGTAACAGAAACAAGTGATAGGAAACAGAACATAAGCGCATTTATAGACACAGATGCTTTTATAAAGCCTAAACTTAAATGAATTTTTAAAAATAAACTGACAGTCACAGGGCTGCTCATATCACACTGCCAGCTACTCGCTCTCGTTCCCATGCACTAAAAAATGGAAAAAATTCTATGTCATCAGGTCATTACCAAAGTTACTTCCTAAGTGGTGATGTCAATGGCAACCTGATGACATGAAAGTCAGCCATTTTGTAGCTTGGGAAACATGAACATTTTCTGTGAAGCGCTGATTAGCAATCCGTTATTAAGGCAAGCTTTTTTTTAATATAGATTCCGAACCATCACTTTACAACAGGATTGAAATGTGTCATATTCATAAAACCTTTAAGTTTCAAGACGAAGATTTTTGAACCATCCACACTTGGCGGATGGGCCTTCAGCCTTTCTGCCCTCATCTTCTGGAACTCCATCCAACTTTCCTTCACATCTCTCCCTCCCATGTCTCCTTCAAGGCACGCCTCAAGATCCCCTCTTTGACCATGCCTTCGGCCCCTTCCTACTCTCTCTGTACTCCATCCTCCCGGAACCCAACCCCCCCCCCCACCCCGCCCGCTTGTGTCCTAATGACCCTGACTACTCAGGGCCTTGGGACGTCTTCCAGACGTGAAAGACGCTTTCCAAATGTAATTTTGTATTGTGTTGAACACATTTCATTATAACAAACTGTATGCAAAACAGATTTAGGTTATGATCCAGGATTAACACATTTCATTTACTAATAAAATGCCACAATGGTGACCTACAATAGGGAATCATAATAAGATTAAAAAAGAATTTGGAAATATTCAATCCGGAATGTAATTTGACAGATTGAACTGATCTTTGGAAACCCTGCTCCAATGCAAACAGGGAAATAGATTACATGAGAGGAAAGTTCCTAATGGTTAATATGATGCACATCCTGTTACCAGGACGATTCATAAATCCTCCTCAAATCCCCTTACGAATATCATCTTATGTGGTTCACCTGGAACAACTAACAAACTATATATTTTCCCTTGGCAACTAATCTATGAACTATTTGCCACGTGTTGTTATTTTTTAGGTGCAAATATCATATATTTGGTTTGGATTGGCTGTATTGCATTGTACTACAAAGGATGATATTTACATCACATCAGTCCAATTAAAACAAGCTCAAGAAACCCAGGAGGTCAAAGCAAGTCTAAGCCAATGCTTGGAAGAATTATAAAAATAATTTCTCAGGAGTTAAAACATAAGGAAGTCCACAGGGAGATCAACAAACTACAGCAGTGCAAATACATCCTAATTTCTAACTTGATATTTTCTCCCCTAGGTGGAACTGACTTAAATTAATAAGCCTAAGAATTGATTACCAATGTTTAACGTCCCAACTCCCCACCTCCCATCCCAATCTCAACTGATCATACCCAAAGTCATCAATAAAGAACTGGATGCATTGAATTAAATGCCACATACCTGCAACAAAGCAGCAGCAAGATAAATGGATATAAAGATAGGAGTTAAAGATGTGTGCCCACTCTTGAGAAGGTGAATCGCAAACAGGAAAATCAGGTGCCCTGGAATCACCAACAATAGCAAGACCTGCGCAGATTTATTATTCAAACCTGTTATCATAATAAAACAAAAAAAATTGATTAACCAAAAAGTTTATTCATCCCTTTAAAAATAACAACTTGCATTTATATAGCACCCTTCCCATAGGATAGCATCCCGTAACGCTTACATTTCTTACTCTCTGTCTCATTTTTAGGTCAAGTGATTTTTGGGTGGGAGCAGATGAATAGAAATAGACTCAACACTTTTTGCATGCTCTGACACCTGTGAGTGTGGTAGCAATTTGTGCATTGAAAATGTGGAGCAAATGGATTTCATGCAGTCAAATGATTAAATCTTCTTGCATTTATCAGCAAGGGTTCAGCTAAGCTGGATTTGCTTCTGAATCCAATTTAAAAATCACCCCAGATATTGGTTAATATTTCTCATTGGGCCAATCCAACTTTTTATCAACATTGAAATAAAAAGTATGTTTTTTTTTAGATGATTAAACACATTTCATTTTTAATGTGTTTGGACAATTTGCAACCGAATGCTTATTTGTTGGAAAAAAAGTGCTCCTAAATGAAACAAATATGAGTTTTCTCATCTCTCTAAAGGATTATTGCTCTGTTTTGTAATAAAATAGTCCTAACTACCATGTCTATATGGGACTCCTTAAGCCTGAATGATTAAAATACTGGGTTGATATATACAGGATGACCAAAAAGTCATGATAACTACCCTATCATCTAAAAAAAATCATAATTTCTTTAAGACTTGTTAGATATTGTAATGGCATCATCACCCTGTTCATCTCCTGTTTTAAACTGACTGGTATTGGGTCAGCCGAATATTTGGCCTCTTGCTGCCTGAAACAGTGTATTACCTGTGCCCAAAAAGATCCTACAAGGATTTCGGCAGTTCTGCAATTCCTCTGGCACCTCACCGGGATTGCTGTGGAAGTGCAGGTAGGTTGATATTCTGCTGGTTTGGATTGCAACCAAGTTACCGCCAATGCCTATAAAGAACAGACTGTGAGATATGTGACAATGCAGACCTTGTTATTCGATAAAAGAGATTGTAAGATTACTTAAAAGAATCCAATTTGTTCTAGAAGGTAAAAGCATTTATAACAATGCTTTTATGAGAGATTTGTGAGATTCACGAAAACATTTATAAATAGCAAATCCCACGAGTATCTAGATTTGTCTCTCAGGAACTTTCGCCCACAAAAATTACATTATAGTCTGTGAAGCACTTTGAGACTTCCCATAGATGTGATAAGGCTCTATATCAAATCCAAGGATTAATATTATTCTATAACTTTCTTCAGATGCTGATCTCAGTTATCTTGTCCGCAAAATATACAGTCAATTCACTTTAGAGTATATTCCGTGAAGCACTTTGAGACTTCTTGAAGACATGATAAGGTGCTATATCAAATTGCAAGTATTATTATTATAGTGATGATTTCTGGTAGAAGCTTGTGGTTCCTGACAAGAGATCAGTCAGAGCAGAGCTCCAGGTCAGCTTTTACAAATCTTTTGGTCAATATCAGGAACTAGACCCTCATACCAGGGTCTATCCCACTGATCAAGTCAAGGGATTACTTCAGAAATTAGGTAACAGCACGACAAGACATTCAGCCAGTTTCACGATTCTCTTGGCTGTGACCAGATTCTAAGAAACTTTACTGCAATGTATTTGCCACCAGATGTTCAAAGGAACTCAATCTTGAGAGAAGAGGACTCAGCGAGAGGTTTATAGAGGTGTACAGAACTTTAAATGGGATTGAAAATGTAAGTTGCAAAACAACAGTTTAGCATGCATCAAGACAGGAGAACAAGAGGACATAGGTTTAGAGTTGCAAAGGGCAATTTCAAGATAGATATCAGAAAGATTTTCTTTGCCAAGAACATAAGAAACAACTGGAACAAGTTGCTAAGAAGGGTGGTTGAGGCCAGGATACTGGGCTCATTTAAAAAGCAGTTTGAGGCTGTAATCATCAACAACAACAAAATTACATTTGTAAAGCGCCTTTCATGTCGGGAGGACGTCCCAAGGTGCTGAACAGTCGGGGATCAGGACCTGAGCGTGAGTGAGGGTAGAGAGGTAGGAGGGCGGCTGAAGGCATGGTCGAAAAGGAGATGGGAGAACAGTAGGGTGGCTAATCTGGAGATCAGACAGTCTTCATTCAAACTAATCTTGCATTCATCCTGCATTCCTGCTCAAACCTAGATCTACCATTTCTAACAGGCTGACCTTGGAAAGCAAAATCCTGCAAACATTTTTTGGCCTCTTATCCTTGAGCATATGAAATATAAGTTATAAAATAATTGAAAATAAAGGTGTATAGTATTTCTCCATATAACATCATAATTGTGCATTGAATGCTGGGTGCCATTACATTTAATCTCCCACTGAAAGTTTTAAGTGGTCTGCTGTGTGCTTATATACAGTGGAGATTTACTTCCTTACCAGCTCTGTGACAGAGGAAATGACTATGGTTTTCAATGCCAGAAAGCAATCCAGTTCAGATTACAGTGCAGGCAATGTTTGCATTCAATCACTGTACAGAACAATGTGCACACAGTATATAAGGGATATGGCAGCCTAGACCAATACATATCCAGGAGAAACTGGTTTACTCACTTAGTTACACACCAAAAAGAAATCTATCACTGGAGTATCTGAAGCTCGATAATAACTGAGTGACAAATAGAGCCACAAAGAAGCAGGTTATTGAATCCCTTTCAAGTAACACCTATAGTGCACGGGGCTACTTCAATATATATGAGGTGAGGGCCGGCATAAATTAAACAAAGATATAAAGTAGCATGCATTCCAGTTCAGAAGAGGGATTGTCTGACTCTAGATGTCATTATTTTACACGGAGGGTGTTGAATATGTGGAGCAGACGGTCTAGTGTGACAGTGAATGGAAAATAAAGAGTGAGCTGTGAAATATTCCATCAACTTCCCCACCTGGAGCTGGCAACTCCCCTTCCTTTTCTCTCTCTCCCCTCTCCTCCCCCACCCTCCTTTCCTCCCCACTCCTTTCCTCCCCTTCCCCCCTCCTTTCCACCCCTCCTTGCCTCCCCCCTTCTTTCCTCCCCCTCCCCGTACTTCCTCCCCCTTCCCCCACTCCTTTCCTCAACACCTCCATCGCCCACCACCCCACCTTCAGGGGATGCTGCTGGAATCCTCAGCTGGAGAATCCACCACTCTATTCTCTATCTCTTTATAATGGCTTTTTGCTGAAAGCTTTTTTTTATTGTACATCAAGTCTTGAAAATCCATCAGGCCCTAGGAGACCCGACAACACACACCTTAAACGATTCCAGTACAGCAATCATTAGAATAACCAGCCTGACCCATCAGACCTGAACAACTAATTGCATTGCTCAGGGCTGCGGTTTTCCATTTGAACTACCAAGTAGCGATCAGCACTAGTACGGAGCAGCAGGTTGTCAATACGCCTAATTACCGCGGTGAAGCCCCTGGAGCAATATAAATACTCTGCTACCTTACAGCATTCAGCAACTGCTTTCACAAAGAAACTCTTCTACAGCTACCCCCGCAAGGGTCATGCTCAAGTTCAAAGCCTCCATTCTGCTCCGGCTTCCTCCCAACCCCCAAAGAAATAGATCGGCTCCAGATTAACAGTCCAAGCTCTAATCACTGGATTTAATGATGCTGCAAATTTATCATAGAGCTGGAAAAACAAGACGTCTGGTTTTATAAATGTTAAACAGTTTTATATACAGCGCTGCAGGAGAGCGACTGTTCTGCGTTTAATTCTCAACAAACGATGGCACTTCTGCCCTCCAAGAAATCGATTTACAACTGGGCCCCTAAATGGGAGGATCTATCACAGATAAGAATGACATTTATTGTGCCCCGGCAGCTAAGCAAGATTACCCAGTGAGAAGTTGGGCCATACAGCCCGTGAAGATCCTGGCTTGGGTTTCCAGTCTGTGCTGATTTAGCTGATATTAGCCAAACAAGCTGCAATGAGATATAATTGACTTCAGCAGTGTGGTTTGAGAAGGGTTCTTACAGCTGATTACTATCCCCTGCTGTAAATAATAATAATTCTTGCATCTGATATAGTGTCTTATCACGTCTTTGAAGTGTCTCAAAGCGCTTCACTGAATATACTGTAAAGTGAATTGACTGTATATACTTTGTGGGCGAAACGCGGCAGCCAATTGAGCACAGCAGCGTCCCACAAACAGTCGTGGATTGAGTGACCAAATTATTACTATTTTGATAAAGAATGCACATGTGGCTATCGAGGGAATTCAGGATTGGCTTCAATTACCGTTAGTCAAACAATCAATCCTTGCTCACAGCCTCATAGTCAGACAAAAGTCACAGTCTAATAGTTTGATAACACTCACTGACAAAGCTCATGCATTAACAATAATTAACTTGTGCAAGTGATCAAAGCATGAAACAATAGAAGGAAAAAATTGTCAAGGAATGGAAGAGAATCAGTATGGTTACAAGCTGACATTTACTGCCCTCTTTAATTCACAATTCAGTTGCCAACATATGCTCGAGCTTGGTGTCAGTGCTGTACAGAGTCCAATGAGGTCCCAAATGTGCTTGAAGCTATTGTGATCCTCCTAAAGAAATTATTCCACTGATACCTCAAATATTAACACTATTTTTGGAAACAGATTTTTGGGGCAGAATGCTCAGTTTATTTTAGAACCTGCCCAATCTATCGGGTTCCAGCAGCCAGGAAGTGCAGCCAGGCTGTAAACCATGACTTTGAAAGACGAGTGTGGGCTAAGTTTCTAATAATAATAGTAAATAATAATAATCATAGAATCATAGAATCATACAGCACAGAAAGAGGCCATTCGGCCCGTCTCGTCTGCACCGGCTCCTAGAAGAGCAATCCAACTCAATCTACTGGCCCGCTTTCTCTCCATAGCCCTGCAATCCTGTCCTTCCCAAACACTCATCTACTTCTCTCTTAAAAAGTTGTTATTGAATCAGCTTCCACTCCTCTTTCAGGTAATGCATTCCAGATCTGAACAACTCCCTGGGTGAAAAACAATTCCTAACCTCCCCTCTGTTTCTTTTAACAACTATCAACCTCCCCACTGGTCTGTCAGTACTATTAGGATATAATCAAACTGACAACTCTTCAAATACATTGACAGTGACAAGTGAACCATTTCTCTGGCTTTCCTCTGAAAGGAACAACTTGTTTGTGGGAAGAATGGTTCAGATGTGGGGCTATGCGTGTGTGTGCATGCGTGTGTGTGCATGCGTGTGTGCTGATACCTCATTTATACTGCTGGAGTGAAGCTGCTTCTCTCCCGGTGGTATACTCTAGTATTATGTCAATGGAAGTCGATTTTATACTGCAAATTTGGCTCTTCAACGAAGTTAAGAGTGCTGCATTCAAAGCTCCCAGACAATCCAAAAGACAGGCTTGGGAGCAATGAGCAAGTGAGTAATTCTAATGTGATAGCTATCCACTATGTTTGTACACATTATACAAATGTACTTGCTGACCAACATTGTACAGTGTGAATCTCCACTCCTGAAATTATCTCCTCATTTATATAACACCTATGGTGGTAAATTGCTGTCAAATTTTCTGACTAAAGAGCACAGTGAGGGGAAGTTACCCTCTCACTTAAATTTCAAAATAAAAAACAATGCAAAAAAAAATGCATCCTTTGCTTTGCTTGTTGATGGTTACATATCTCATGTGACTATTCAAAAGATAAGAGTGTTTTTCCTGGTGTCCTGGCCAACAGTCCTCAAGATAAAAGTGGTCATTCACTTCAATGTTGTTTGTGCGACATTGCTGTGTGCAAATTCATCGCTGTGTTCACCTATAAATACACCTTCACTACACTTTACAGAAAAATACACTGTAAAGAGAGTTAAGATGTTTCAACATAATAAGGTGCTTTATCAATTGCAAGGATTATTATTCTAACTATTACCAAAGACTAAACATCCTGATTTTAAAGTGCCCTTCAAACAGTTGGTCACCAACCTCTTCAAAAACAGATCTTTATTCTGTTGCCGTCTTTATAGCTTTGCTAGTCAGCTAAGAACGAAATGAGATTTGTGAGCACTGGGTAAAGATTTATCATTGCACAGGCCATTCATATCTCCTGTTGACTGTTTTGTGGCAGTTGACAGAATCTTAAGTGATTGAGAACTCCTTTGCACGATTGTCATGTGTGTGTGTATATGTGTGTGTGTGTGAACAGAAACAAGGGGGTGATTCTCTGCTTGTCAGTAAATTTACGGACCCTGCCAGTGTGAGTTTATGGTAGGATTTCCCCCATTATAAACTCATGCCAACACCGCCTGCAAATTTATAGACCAGCAGAGAATATAATGTTCTCACCCACTACGATTCATAAATTTATCGAGAACAGGAAAATTGCTCCCAAGGTCTTGGTAGCACAGCAGTGTAATAGTAGACAACTACTCTATTGAGGCAGACTTGGACCTAGAGAATTGGATCAAACGTTTGAGCTGTTAATTGTTCTTGTAATTTTGAGGCCACTTTGAGGTACACAGAAATGAACTGAATATTGTTGGTTTACACATTCTGTTAAATGGTCTCAGCTTCTCATGTTGCTGTAAAATTCAGTCAGCAAATTAAATCTGACTATCCGTTTGTGTCTCAGATAATCTTTCCATCTTTCATCTCTTACTGAATGGATCATCCAAGTGGTTTGTATTTAGAGTTACTATTTTCTTGCATGTTATTTTAGCAAAATACAGTAAACTCCTATTAATTCATCACTCGATGGGAAAGGGGCTCAGTGATGTGGCGAGTTTGGCACATGTATAAATACAGAATTTAATGCAGCCAGATTATTGACAGTATGACAACATAAGTGCAAACTAAGCCAGGGTTGATTTATAAGGATTGTTTACTGGAACAAACTGAGAATAACCTAGAATGATTGATACGCTAAAAGCATATGAATAATCAAACTGAACATAGCCCTCACTCCCAATTTTCACCCCTTACCTCTCATCTCCTTATTATTATTATTATATTATTATTATTATTATTATTATCTCCTGACTCAGGTGTGGGACTATAGAAATCACTCCCTCACCATTCTTCCTTTGCACATGAGTGGAGTGGGATGTTCAACCATGGGGCCACTGCACTTAACATGCCCCAGCAGAGATCGCTGGATAGCGATTAGGAGTGTGACTTTGTCTAATGTTTCCCCTCCCTCATCATGCAATGCTGAGGTCAATAGTAATGCTCTACAACAACAACAACAAAATTGCATTTATAGAGCGCCTTTCACGTCGGGAGGACGTCCCAAGGTGCTCCATATCACCCCTTGCTAAGATTGGGTATCATCAATCAATCAAACCAGAGCCCTTCCTGTTTTGTATGGTTCAGTATTACACTACATAATCTATTAATAATAATCCTTACTCTTAATACAGTGTAGTGTCTCTAATGTCAAAATGTCTCAAAACATTTCACAAGTAATTGCTGTTAAGTGTGACTGGATAAGAGTAGCAAAACTCAGTAGCTAAAACTCAGTCACAAAGCAAGATCCCACAAAGAGCCATGAGGTGAATAACCAATTTATCTGATGGCCAGGATACTGCGGAAAAACTCACTTCACTTTTTGAATAGTGATTAAATATTTCATCTGAAGTACGTCACCTCCGACAATGTAATACTTCGCCAGTACTAACCACACTTGCAACTAAATGAACACATTGTTAAATATGTGGTCTGATAATAAAACTAAGCCTCAGGAGAAAGCCAATGAAAGGAAATAATAGGAATACTATTCATAGCTTACCATTGATAACTGGGCTAAAAACAACCATACCAACGAAATTTGGATCCGACACAGTTTTGCCCAGTATAAGGCCGCCCAGGCTGAAAAACATCAAAGTGACATCTTAAAGGGCATCTTTGATAGCGAGAGCTCAACATGAAACCTGTTCAAGAATCTCAACCAAACAGCAGAAAACAACAACATGATCATTTCTTTTTCAAGTCACAGACGGAAAATTGCTTATTGATACACTTAAATCAGGTGAATAATTGAATCCCCATATTTTTTAGCTGCATTTACTTCTAAACCATGACTTTACAATATACAGCATTGCACCTTTCCTCAGGTAAAGAAGGGACATGTAGGTGACCTGATCCAAGGCTTTGGACAACACTCATTTACTGCCACTTGTGACGGAGAGGGGAGAGCTCAAGAGGAACCCAGGGTGATTCATCTTATGATTAGCCCTCTCCTTCTGAAGAGCAGTCTAACGCTGTCTGACGCTGTCTAACACTGGGCAATCACCACACGGCTAATGCCACCTCCTCTCTGTAGGAGGGAAGGGAATAAAGGAACATCACAGGGCGAACCATTGCTGGGTCATTGTTACCCACTTCCTGGTGTGGTCGCATTTCAGCCAAAGACGCGTAACAAGGAGGGCTTGGAAAGAGGGTTGCTTTCTCCTAATGGCACACACTAAAATAGGTCATTTCTTCATACCCTTTTCGGTAGTTTGAATGCTCACCTGCTAATTCCCATGGCTGTAATTATGGGCTCCCAACCGGAACAAAGCACTTGCTTGGTGGCTGGATGTTTAAGAGATAGCACAATCCATATAGGTGTCAGGGCCAGAAAGAAGGCACATACTAATGGAGACATATAAGGCCGGGTATCTATGAGGACAAAACATACGGTTATCAAAGGATGGTCCAGCCTTGAAATAATATAATAATAATAATCCTTTCATTTGATATAGCGCTTTTTCACGTCTTCTAGACGTCTCAAAGCGCTTCACAGAATATGCTGTAAAGTGAATCGACCGTATATTTGTGGGCGAAAGGCGGCAGCCAATTGCGCACAGCAGCGTCCCACAAACAGTCGTGGATTGAAAATGACCAATTTATTATTGTTTTGTTTTTGGAGGGATTATTATTAAGCGTGTGGAGTAAGGAAACTTGCCCATGGTTTGCTCTGCCTGGAATTGAACCCAGGTGTCTCGCTTGCAAGGCGAGTGCTCTAACCACTGAGCCACAGGACTCCGACATGCTGCTAGCCAATAGCACAATTTATATACGGTGAACTGGCACAGAATTATTCAGGTGGTTTTAATTATTTTGCATTGGTCTATTACAGTTACAATAGTATTACACTAATCAGCTTTAAATTAACATTATACAATTCTTTGTAATTATTTCCAATACTTAAATCTGATGAGATTTAAACACCAGGTTCAGTTACAGTGGCAATCATAATTGATTCTGGAAGCTGTATGGTCTCAATAGGTAAATGCATATCGTCTCAGCACACAACTGTAGGACTGAACCCTGGACACAGGAAAAATGGTCTGGAGATAAATAAATGCACTTGTTGGTTTTGAAATCAAACATGGTGTGCAGTAATAAGCAAGTGCTGCCCTCTACTGTTGTAAAATGCCACATCCGTCTATAAGACGACTGGAAAAGTTGACGTTGGTCAAAAATGTCACAGGGTCCAAGTCATGCAGAGAAACAGATTATAGCAGTTTTCCCCGCAGGCAAAGGTATCCCTGAGATGACTATTTCTGCATCACTAACCTATCATTTGTAGTTGAATAATACATTTGGTGTAAAATAAAACGGTGCTGATGGTTTTGCTGTGTCTGAAGGGACTTTTATATATCTCATTACAGGATTTAAGAACTCGCTTGTCAAAAGCTGACATACCACATCCCTTCTATAATGTAGGTACCAGAACTGCACACTATTCTAAGTGTGGTCTAACCAAGGCTCTATAGGAGTTTACCATAACTTCCCTGCTTTTCATTTCTATCTCTCTAGAAATTAACCCCAATGCCTGGTTTGCTCTTTTTATGGTCTTATTAGTCCTGTAGCTCAGTGGTTAGAGCACTCGCCTTGCAAGCGAGGCACCTGGGTTCAATTCCAGGCAGGACGAAACCTTGGGCAAGTTTCCTTACTCCACACACCTAATAGTAATCCCTCCAAAAACAAAAACAATAATAAATTGATCATTTCAATCCACGACTGTTTGTGGGACACTGCTGTGCGCAATTGGCTGCCGCGTTTCGCCCACAAATATACGGTCAATTAACTTTACAGTCTATTCTGTGAAGCGCTTTGAGACATCGAGAAAACGTGAAAAGCACTATATCAAATGCAAGGATTATTATTAAACTGCTTTGCTACTTTTAGTGAATTATGTATGTGTACCCCAGGTCCCTTTGCTCCTCTACCCTATTTAGGTTTTTATTTTCCAGGATGTATGTGACTTCCTTATTCCTTCTACCAAAGTGTACCACCTCACACTTTTCTACGTTGAAATGCATTTGCCATTTAAATGCCCACTCAGCAAGTTTATTAATGTCTTGCTGTAATTTGATGCAGTCCTCCTCTATTAACTACTCCCCCCAATTTGGTATCGTCCGCAAATTTTGAAATTGTACTGCTGATTCCCAAATCCAGGTCATTAATGTATATTGTGAACAAGAGTGGTCCCAATACCGATCCTTGTGGAACACCACTGCCCACCCCCTGCCAGTCTGAGTAGCTACCCTTTACCCTACTCTCTGTTTTCTGTTTGGTAGCCAGCTTGCTATCCATTCTGCTGTTTTTCCCCTGACTCCACATGCTCCGACCTTATTCATTAGTCTATTATGTGGTACCTTATCGAACGCCTTTTGGAAATCTAAATATATTACATCTACTGCATTACCCTTGTCTACTCTTTCTGTTACCCCTTCAAAGAATTCAATGAGGTTGGGCGAGTATGACCTTTCCTTTTTGAAATCCGTGCTGACTGTTCTTTATTAGGTTTCCCATTTCCCGATGTTTTTCTATTACCTCCTTTGGTAAGGATTCCATTATCTTTCCTACCCCTGAGGTTAAGCTGACAGGTCTCTAGTTCCCTGGTATTGTTCTATCTCGCCTTTTAAATATAAGTATAACATTAGCTATCCTCCAGTCCTCTGGCACCACTCCCTTTTCTAATTAGTTATTACATACGTGTAATAGTGCCTCTGCTATCTCTTCCCTCAATTCTTTAATATATGCGGATGCAATCCATCTGGACCAGGGGGTTTTATCCCCTCTGAGTTTCGTTAGTTTTTTGATTATATCTCCCCTTTGTATCTTAAATGTATTTATATTATTTTCGATCTCTTCTACTGTCATGTTCATCTGATCCGTCTCCCTGGTGAATACTGAGGCAAAGTAATTATTTAATATTTCTGCCATTTGGCCGTCGAGGGCTGTGAGCTTATCTTATCCATACCTTAGTGGCACTACTCCTATTTTGATTTTTCTTTTGTTATGTATATGTCTGTAGAATATTTTACTATTTCTTTTTATATTCCTTGATAATTTAATTTCATAATTCTTGCCTTCCTTCCTAATTGTTTTTTTGACTATTTTCCTGACTTCTTCATATTTTTTTGTTATGCTCTCCCTTGTTGTTTAAGTACTTAGTGAATGCCTCTTTCCTGAGTCTCAACTTTGCCCTTATGTCTTTATTCAACCCTGGTGTCTTAATATTATTTAGCTTTGTCTTGCTTTTTAGCGGGATATATTTCTCCTGGACTCTATTGATCACTGTTTAAATGTTTCCCACTGCTGCTCTATCTCTTTGTTTACCAACATTGTTTTCCAGTTTACTTTCCTAAGTTCCTTTCTCATCCCCTCAAAATCAGCTTTTTCCAATCTATTACCCTGGTCTTTGTTATACTCATGTCCTTCTCCATCTTTATCTTAAACCATATTAAGTTATGATCGCTATTGCCTAGATGTTCCCCTACTCCTACTTCTCTTATCTGCTCTGGTTCATTTCCCATTCCTAAATCTAGCAGGGATTCCTCCCTTGTTGGGCCTCTTACATACTGGGTAAGAAAGGACTCCTGTACACATTGAAGGAACCCCATTCCATTATCCCCTTTACCTACCTCTTCCAACCAATTTATTTGGGGATAGCTGAAATCCCCCATGATTATTACTCTATGTCTTTTACTCATTTCCCTAATTTGCTTGCATATGTCTTCCTCTACCTCCCTTCCGCTGTTAGGTGGTCTGTAGAGTGCCCCTATTTGTGTGATACGCAAGGTATGTCATATGCAAGGATTATTGTTATTATTATAGACTCAGTCAGGTTCGGGAGTGGGGCTGGGGCACAGGGATGGCTGATGCAGCTGGGAATTGTCTTCTGCGGTTGGATTAAACGTGTATTGTTGAGGCAGAGTAAAGGGTACTTCACTCTAAATCTGGAAAATATTTGATGCTGGTTGCAAACAAATGGAAAGAGCTCCATTTATAACACACTGGGATCCCATCCTTACACCTGAGAAACATAAAAAATGCAAAGAAGAAATAGATAAATTTCTCCTAAGCAAACAATATCAGAATTGCTAGTATAAATGTAACCTATTATTTTTGTTGTACATTTTCCAATTATGTATTTTAGCTTTCAGCGAAAAAATACGTTGGGATAGATGAATAATCTCATAAATCAACAGAGCAGGCTAAAGCATATACAAATATCATCTTAGATTCCTATGAACTATTTATTATGATGTTGGTAATTTGCATTGTGGCAAAGGTCTAGCAACATAAATCTTTTCCATGTCAGATACAATGTCAATGTAGTTCTTACTCATATATGATTCTTACTCATGTATATATGGTCCTTACTCACCGAGGCAATTATAGAGACCTTGACTGATCCAAGCTAATATGGAAAGAGTAAGGAGATCTCCCAGGCTCCCTGCGACGGGAGTGGAAACATTATCAGGATTGATTCCAGTCTTCTTTGATCCAACAATAACCCCAACCATGATTATACCTGAGAGGAGACAAGAAACAAAAAGATTAAATTCGTTCATCACCTCCGTTCACATGCATAACTGTGACTCAACCGTGATTTACAGCAGATCAGCAATTGCAGAGTTACCATTTAATGCCATTATTATACACTCAATCATTTAACTACAGTGCTTTCAAGTACATTGTTTATAAGAATAATGAGATTCTGGGCATATTTTCAAATAATGTTTATTATGCACTAAAAATGATTGCAGTGTCAAAGATAATTCTAAGAGCGAGTAAAGCAATGTTTATGGAGAATTTATGTTGCATTTATACTTATGGGAATTGTTTTATTTCCAGCATGATAGCAAAGCGCGACGAGAAGCCTGACACACGCACGTCACATCAAACCACAGTTCAAATAAACGGACAACTAGATATGTCACATGTGCATCAAACCCAAGTCAGCTATTTGCTTTCCAATGTTATTACACAATCTGTTCAAAGTTCCCGGGACAGTCGAGACATCAGAAGGAGCAGAACCTAGTGCATTCGCACACGACATGTGTAACATTGATTGTCCAGCGCTTTGGGACGTCCTCCCGACGTGAAAGGTGCTATACAAATGTAATTTTGTTGTTGTCTCTACATACTGCTTCGCTCCTGAATCCACTTCCTACAGGTGGGTTCAACAGCATGGCTCTCAACAGCTTGGCTCCAGCACAATCTGTACTATCAGAGACCCAGTGCATGTTTGGCAGTGAATCACTATCATGTTCTCTCTGATTTATCACCAAATGAACAGTGGGAAGCGAACCATTAGACACGTTCTTATAGCATTGGCCAAAGTTGAACGTTAGTAATTTAATGTTTACAAGCATCGATTTTAAACAGGTGTTGAAAATAGTGACTCCAGCTGCTGATCGCAAGTGGGTCCACACTGACATTCAGGAATCTCGCTCCAATACTGTAGGTCAGTGTGGGGTACGACCAGCTATCAGCACAGATACAAAGTTTGTGGCTTAGTAAACCACAATAATAACTACTTTATTCCTCAAGTCATTCTTCTATTGTGCCTCATGCATTAGTAGCATCTAATCAGCTTCCTGACTCTAATCAGTGCTGTTGTGTGTGCGCTCAACTTGGGGCACAATTTTCAGAGCAAAAAAAGAAATGTTGCTCTCACCCAGCACTGAACTCCATTTAAAAATCCATCTACAAATTAACTAAGCTTTGTTGATGCTGGGGAGCAAAACATTTAAGTGTACAATCATAATAATAAGGGCAATATCACTGAATATTTACAAATATTGAAAAAAATTCATAACCTACTGAGGGGTGACACCACAAACCACTTGATCTCCTAGACCGATGCCAACTCAATGCCAAGAAGCATTCCTGTTGTGTAGCAAGCACTAGTGTACTGTACAATACATGCAAATTTGACATTATTAAACCTTCCTTACTTTTTTGTCATCGAAATCGAACGGAACAGAAATCATATAAGGCAAAATATCATATAAGGCAATCATATTTTCCCCCTTCTCTTGCCATCATCATACCATCACACCATATGGTTTAAATAGGACTGATGGTGGAATGTGTCTCATTGAATGCGACATCCAGGATATCACATTAATAATAATAATACTTGCATTTGATACAATGCTTTTAACATCTTCTAGACGTCTCAAAGCGCTTCACAGAATACACTGTAAAGTATATTTGTGGGCGAAACGCGGCAGCCAATTACGTACAGCAGTGTCCCACAAACAGTCGCGATTGAAGTAACCAATTTTATTATTGTTTTTTTTCCTCTTGATGGAATATTATCAGGCATGTGGAGTAAGGAAACTTGCCCAAGGTTTCAGCCTGCTGGGAATCAAACCCAGGTCTCTCGCTTGCAAGGTGAGGACTCTTGTGTATATTAGGCAGATTTTAAAACGTTAGCAACATGTTACATTCAAAGCAGAATGGTCAGTCTTACCCTGTGTTAGAGAGGCTATAAAACCGGTAGCAACACTGCTGGAACACAAAAGCACAGCGTGGTTCATGCGGAAATGACCCTCAGGGATCCATCCGAGCACAACGGCAGCTACAGCGGCCAGGAATCCTACCACTGTCGCTTGCATCTGAGTCATTTATAAAAGATTTTAAAAATACATCAGATGCAAAATGAATTCATAACGTAGTCAAATGAATTAATCTTCATCACAGTTAATTAGTGTTAGCGGCAATGAAAGCAAAGCTAATAAGAATCTGTGCAAAAGATAATGAACATGCAATTCTTTAAATGCATTGTGTTAAAACTGCACTGTTACATAAAGTATACACACAACAGAACTTCAAGATCACAGCAATAGCCTGTGGTAAATATTAACTATGCATGTCAGTGACCAGAATCAAGCAACATTCAGTGCATGGTATTTATATTCATTTGAAAATGTCCCTTGAACTTTGACAATAATAAACCAAAGTAAAGACCTTTTAAAAATAACTTGTCCAGCAGGCCAATAGCATGCAACCTACTCCCATCCTTCCCACCCCAGCAGCAATCAGGAACCAACAGCTACACAGAGAAGCTCCAACCCTTCAATACTTGCAAACTACCTGCAAAAGCCCTGCGATAAAACTATACGCTCTCTGCCACAGACACACAATTAACCCCAGCCTGAGCTCCCCTGCAAAAGGAATATCGCACACCTGTCAGCAAGCATTATCAGCTAGATATACTGAAGTAATTCAGACCCAGGAGATGAGTTGGAAGAATCCTTGCCCCCAATGACTGTTCTGCCCCTCCAAGTCCTACTGATGAGCTAAGCTGGCTGGGCTGTCATCAGCAGTGCCCTGGAGTACTTTGTGCCAGCTTGGTTCAGGTACCAGACTACCAAGACTGCAACAGAGAATTGACTTGATTCTGACCATTGCCAAGCACATCACCTTGGAGCCAGTTCAGCTCCATGTAGACCCAGCGTATCTCGCTCAACACCTCCACCGGCCCCCAAGGAAGATTCACTAGTTGAGAATTAGGATGGAATCGCCAGCTTAAGGTGTCCAACCCACCCCGAGAGTTTTACCCTCGCACACCACTTACGCATGAAAATTTCTCTGTGTCTGGAATGGAATACAAATTCTTCCATGGTTAGATGCACCCTGCTTTGCCTATTTCCAGAGAGTATTAGGTGCAGCTTGGCATGAGCCAAGGCTTGCAACTCCAGAGCCTAGGTTGGGCTAATTCTGGTTTAACCAGCTAAACCCACATTAGCTTGCCATGCAGGCTGATGGCACTGATTCAACTGTACACTAGTATAAGTCATCATCATTCAGGAGAGATGGGGCAAGGGATAAACACTAGAAGTGGGAATCTTCGCACACTTACATGGAAAAATAAAAATAATTTAAAAAATGACTGAGACTTCCTCACCTGCTTTAGGGCCATATTGCAAGCTATTAGTTTCCACTGTTCCGTGGCAGAATCCATTTTCCCAATGTTTACCTGTCAGAATAAAGGAGTCATGTGTTAATTAGATAATTAGATAGTATATTATATACTATACACTCCAGAGACGTAGCACTACTATCGTGGAGTCCAGTAGCTCAGTAGTTAGAGCACTCACCTCGCAAGCGAGAGACCAGGGTTCAATTCCCGGCAGGGCGAAATGTTGGGCAAGTTTCCTTACTCCACACGCCTCTGTTTACCTAGCAGTAAGTAGGAACCCGGTTGTTAGTCGATTGGAGGATCGCTTTTCCGGGGGTAATAATCCCTCCAAAAAATAATAATAATAATAAGTTGGTCACTCAATCAACAACTGTTTGTGGGACACTGCTGTGCGCAATTGGCTGCCACGTTTCGCCCACAAAATAAACAGTCAATTCACTTTACAGTATGTTCTATGAAGCGCTTTGAGACATTTCGAAGACATGATAATGCGCTATATCAAATACAAGGATGACAATGATGATAAGCCACTGCCCGATATTTACAGAACACATTCAGGGAAGGTGCATCTTACATACTAGATTTGAATGTATTTGTTGCCAAAAGTAAACCTCTAAAATAATCTCACACCATTAACTCTGTTGGTCTTCTCTCCCCTCCAGCCTCTGAATCTTAAAACAGAATATTAATAAAAAGATGCAATATATTAGGGTTCATTTTAAATGTGCTCTAGAGAAGGCTTATTGTAATATCAAGATACATGATACATGTGGAGTCCTGTAGCTTAATGGTTAGAGCACTCGGCTCACAAGCGAGAGGACCTGGGTTCGATTCCCGAGCATGGCAAGTTTCCTCACTGCACACCCCTTTACTTAATAAGTAAAATTACTAAGCAAGTTTCTTTGCATACATTTGGCAATAACAAAGCAGGAAACAAATAAAGATGAATCTTTTGAGCTGACTCCTTTGAAAAGACAACATTCAGTCACTACCTTTCCCAAACTTGAATATAAACACAAGTAAGTTCAGATATTGTAACATAAGGCAAGAATGTAATTAGATTCAGCTTTGTGTAAGTGTCTTGTGGTGCTGATTGACTCAAAGAAAACTATATATACTGAATGAAACAAGCATGTTAAAAATCTACGGCAGCTTTCAGTAAAGGGGAGCCACATACTGTTATTTAGATGAACAAAACCTGGTCCAAAGGGAAATTGTTCCACAGAAACCATATGCCTTGGCAGTAATAACATCTGCTGCATGTGATTATAATGTATACTTATATACAGGCTTATATACAGCCTGTCAGTACAGGCTTTCTATAGAAGCAATCCAACTAACATGTCTGCATCTGGGCCTAAGAAAAAGCCAAATGGAAACATGCCTGCAGGCAGTGGACTAGAAACAGACCTATTGTCATTGGAGTTACTTTATAGACTTCCAGTGTAACTAATGCCCCAGTTTATACTGGTTGCTGGAAGTGAAGCAAAATCATTTCCAGCAATAAAGCAATTATGAGTGGAAAACCTATACTACCGCATTGACTCAGGACGAAGGTGAGTTCGAATATGCAGAACTGAGCTGGCGTGTGGAACTCCAGTAATGGGTGTTAGTTTCTGAACCTTGAACACTTAAGGCCTGAAATTTCACCAGTCTGTAAGACCATTATGCCTTACCAATTATGATCATACTGCGTTGTGCAAAATTCAGTCTTAATTTGGAAGCTATTTTCTGCAATTCATAAGGGTTGTCAAATCCACTATCCTGCCTCTCTTGGGATGTAATGGATCCCAAACACTGTATGATAAGGAGGCTGCACTGTATTAACTTAATGATCAGACTTTACTAAACACTATATTTGTTCAAGAACATCGATCAAGGTCACTTTCAGGGAGTCGAAGAAATCATCCTGAATTTTTTATTGTTCCGCCTGTGCTTCAATGACAAATGGTGGAAGGATGTGGGTGAAATGGCAAAGGTCCCAAAAATGTGTAAATTTGACAAGGTATACCCCACGTCGGGACTATGACAGTCTAGGCTGACACTCCAGTTCACTGCTGGGCTAGTGCTGTGTTGCTGTCCAGATCAGATGTTAAATCAAGGTCCTATCTGCCGGTTCTGGTGGACGTTAAAGATCCCATGGCACTATTCAAAAAGAGAAGGAAATTTCCACTAGATCTTTCAAAATGCTCATTCAATTCACGGCGGTTGTAGAATATTACAGTGCACAAACGGGCGACCACAGTCACCACACTTTAAAGTAAACTCTCCGAAACACTTTGGTTTTAAGTCTGTTAAACCCACTGGGATTAAATGATACACATTGCTGATATTCCGCTCTCTTTGTCCTGCACTAAAATATTGCATTAGTTAGTTGTAAACATTACCATTCTGCCAGTTAGTTTCAGATACGCACGCTCCATTGTTTTTTTGGTGTTGAGATCAGCAGTTACAAAACATAGTCAAATAGGGAATAATTGTTTCCACCATTACCTTCACCTGTAACAGAATATGGGACCTCTGCCCATCAATTCATGTTACACGAGAATAAGTCACAGGATAAAAAACTTGTATCATCCAACTAACAGCAGGAGAGCACTAAAAACACCTTAGTATAGAGAAATGTCAAACTGGCTGCTGCATTCAGTTGTGAAAAGGAATTCTGAGCATGCAATCCCAATGTTGAGGCTCCTGTAGCCTAGACCAGGGTGGTCCATCCAGCATACTGGCTGATTTCAAGTGAAATGTAGTGCTTCCTTTTAACTGTCTTATAACAATATGCTTGAAGAGCATTTACATATTTCATTTTAAATCATTTAGAATAATAATAATATTCCTTGCATTTGAAATAACGCCTTCTCACATCTTAGAGACGTCTCAAAACGCTTCACAGAATATTCTGTAAAGTGAATTGACTGTACATTTTATGGGCGCACTCCAAACAATGCTGTAGTTATTTCATTTGCTCCAACGCTCCCTCCAAAACCACTAAATATTATGTTATGTTTCTAGAAGGGAAACACAAAAATATTGCTTATGCAGCCTGTGGACATTTCTCAAATAGGGCCTCCGGCCTTCAGCAGCCAAAAGGTTGGACCACACTGGCCTAGACAGATAAGAAGTTAAAGCTTACCAGTTTCGCAATAAGATGTTAAACGTTGCAATGCTGCAATGTTAGTGGAACGTTAAAACCATAACCACTTTAACAAGAAGGCCAGGATCATGGGGAAGTTGCGTGAATACTTGGGAAAAGCAACCTGACACTAAATGCATGCCAGCTGCCGCATAAAGAAATTGGAAACAAATTCACACAAGACAAAAAAGATATTTGCTTGGTAATTTGATCACGGGACGCTACCCTGCCTGAAGGGCGCTTTATAAATGGAATTTGTTGTCTTATTTCAAGCACTCCTTTTCAAGCCATTTAGTTTTTATTCCTGACCTCAATGACAGTGCATCTGGTTTTACATGAGACATTTGTCATGCAGAAGTGCACACATGCTTGCTGGATCTCATAAATGTGCTGTGTATGAGCTACCACCTGCTTGCCCACTGACCTGTGAGAGGCAATCTTACTTAATAGCTCTTAATAGTTTGTTTGTTTACAGCTGAATGGGCAACAGAATACACTGTTATATGAGCACTCTCTTAAATTTACAAATTACCACTTTTTCATGTAGATGCGGCAATGGAATTATGCCATACCTCCAATGCATAATTCTCCTGTTCTTGTTTAGCTGAAGGAATGTACGCTTCTATTTTACCTCGTAGTTTTGTTTTATTTTGGGGGAAAAAATGAAATATCTACAGCACTGGTTTGGATTGTCCTGAAACGATTTCAACTAAAAAAAATGTAAATGCTCTTGGAAGCATTATTGTTGTAAGTCAGTTAAAAGGAAGCACTAAATTTCACTTGCTTTTCACACCAAATCAAGCAGAGGAACACAGGCTCCAAACAAGACAGTCGAAATAGGTTTCATTCCGCACCTCGGCCATACTTCATCATGCAGAACATAAGCTTCAGCAAAATGCTTTACTTAGATAGCAATGGCACAGGATCGTGTTCGAAACTTAAAGAGAAATTTGTCAGAAATCTGTGTGACAAGGTGACTTACTGCAGTGGAAAGTCTGGATGCCAAGGTCATTTCTAGGTTTCCTTTGAGACCAAGAAGTGCTGGAACAAGGATGAAAACATCTGTGATATTTTCAAACACTGTCCAATGCTGGAGAAAAATAAAAACAAGACAATTATTTTTTTTGCAGCTTTTCATATTTGCAGCTAAATTTAAACTAATACATTTTGCAGAAGTTAACCTAATTATGAATCTGGTGTCGCCAAATATACATAATAATATCAAATAGTAGGCATAAATACATATATATTAGATGATTGTGATATAATATTCATCAGAAAGTGAATCTTTTGTTAATAAAATAAATACAACAATAAAGTCCAATTAAAGTCCCACTTACTGAACTTGTACTCAGTTTGAACACAAAAAAATAAGGGCTCATTGTACTAATTTCTATCTCATTTGCTTCCTTGCTTCATTTTCTTCACAATAGCCTCTCTATAAAACTCATTGGAGAAAGCAATGATTCTTTCTCTCTCATGTGCACACATATCCTTCCTTTCTCTCCACATTATGTTCAGTCTCACCTGCCAGTAATTTTTGATGGTATTGAATTAAGCAAGAAAAGTACTTAGTGACTCCCAGGCTTGATTTCTCTGTGAACAAGATTATGTCAGATTTGTAGTAGTCAAGAACCAGCAAGGAATCTGACTGCAAAACTAAAAAAAATACATTAAACTGCTAACCATTGTTCTCTCAGGTTACAGTCACCTCTGTTACCAGTCATACGAACCTGTTACTTCAGCATAATATTACACATACACACTCTCCTCAGTACACACATCTTTTGTGTGCCCCTTTGACTTAGTTGATAGAACACTCTCTTCTGGTTTTGCAGGTGGTAGATTCAAGCCACATCTGAGAATGTGACCTTGTATGTCAACTGGTACTTCAGTGCACTATATTGGGTGCACTGAATCATTGGAGGTGCCATCCTCCAGATGAGATGTTAATCTGCCTGTTCTGGAGGTACAGATTGAAGCTAAAGATTCCAAGGCACTATTTCAAAGAGGAACAACAGGGAGTTCTCCATTGATTCCCAAAAATTAGCAGGGTAAATACATCAAGTAATCACTCCTACTTGCGCAGATTAACTGCTGTACTTGTCTACTGAAAAATGGCCATGGCCCTTCAAAGAACTCATTGTGTGAAATACTTTGAGTCACTTTCACGTGATAAGTCTTTGATGCATCAAATCCAAGTAGTGCTATTATTAGTCAGCCCTCACTCTCTATAAGTCCTTTGTACACTCTTTGTACATTAAGGAGAAACCAGTTAATAAAAAAAAATGTTGATTTAATCTAGTTGCATAAGCATTTGAAGAGGGAGATTACAAAAATGTATGGGAAAAAAAGGAGGGTTTAGAATAGTTAGCTCCAATGTGTGATCTAGCACCTGTTTAGGCTCGATGGACCGAATAGCCACCTACTATATTGTCATTTCAAAGATTCTTAACTAAGGATAAAAAGCATGAGAAACAACTGCCTTTGTGTTGACCTCTGCATTCCATAATATAGTTAAACTATTGTATAAGGTTTACAAAATGGCCCTCATTGCACAAACAAAAAATTGTTTCATGTGCACAACCAGAAAATGTTCATTTGAAGACAAGGATAACATGTCATATTCAGGTTACAACCTTCAGGTTTGGTAATCACAGGAATGGATTAAATTAACCAATTTAAAAACTATGGTATAATAATAATAATAATCCTTGCATTTGATATAGCGCTTTTCACGTCTTCGAGACGTCTCAAAGTGCTTCACAGAATATACTGTAAAGTGAATTGACTGTATTTTGTGGGCGAAACGCGGCAGCCAATTGCGCACAGCAGTGTCCCACAAACAGTCGTAGATTGAGTGACCAAATTATTATTGTTCTTTTTGAAAGATTATTATCACTGGAAAAGCAATCCACCAATCGACTAACAACCGGGTTCCTACTTACTGCTAGGTAAACAGAGGTGTGTGGAGTAAGGAATCTTTCCCAACATTTCGCCCTGCCGGGAATAGAACCCTGGTCTCTCGCTTGCGAGGCGAGTGCTCCAACCACTGAGCTACAGGACTTCACATATGAATCTTTACTATCTAACACTAGCAACCGTAAGCATATGGATACATTATTATTGGTTTATAAATAGTATTAATACGCATGAATACCTGAAGCACTGACATTTTCTGCACAGAAATGAGCCACTGTAACTAATAATGGTAAGCAAACAAAGGATGTAATAAATTTATAGTGCATTTATACACAAATGGATTGCATCGTTTATTGAACTGTGGACACTGAAGCTATTTTTCTACAACACTGATAGTTCCAAAAATCATATCCCACTAACTTTCACTTAGTTACGTCAAATTTCTAGATCCATGTCTCACTGGGACCCCAGCAATTTAAAACAAACAAGAACACAGTTGAATATCCCCATTTAACAGGTCAAGGATGTCAGGAAGGCTGACAAATGTAGGAATGGAGCAGGAAAAATTGTTTCCAGTAAGACTACCCGTGTCGAAATACATTTGTATGGCAGCATTTCAGACAAGTCACAATTCTAATGTGTTACAGAGTTGGAAAGATAAACTTGCTCTGAGACAAATGAAAATACTGTAAAATGAATCTGAAAGAAAGTGCACATTGCCTCCATCTGTACTGAATTCAATGAAGGTCAAATTAAGAGTAGTCAACAGATATTTGTCAGATATGAAGCACGAGTCCTTGGTGGGCCTCTATATGATCTATAGCACAGGAAGAACAATTTGACAAATTGTATAAGCCTGTCCAAGAATCTAACCCTACCAGTAAAGTACAACCTAGAAACAATATTTAACTACTTAGTGAATCGAGACCAAAGCACTTCTTCCTAGACTTCTCATAGAGATCCCTTTGATTCCAGACACAAAAAAGCTTCTGCGCTTTCTTCGAACTTCAGTTTTGTTGTGAATTTCATTGATAGTGTCTCGCCTCTGAGTCAGAGGTTGTAGTATCAAGTCCCATGCTAGGACTTTGTACTGATAAGGTCCAGGCTGAAACTCCAATGCATTGCTGGAGATGTGTTGCATTGTTGGAGATGCTGTCCGTTAGATAAGAGATTAAAAGACAAAGATAAATATTCTTGCATGTCTGTTCAGGGGCATTAAAGAGCCCGTGGCATTATTTCACCCACAAAATATGCAGTCATTTCACTTTACAGTGTGTTCTGTGAAGCGTTTTGCGACGTCCTTCCGACGTGAAAAGCGCTATATCAAATGCAAGGATTATTATTATTATTGTTAAGTGCTTTGAGACCTCTCAAAGATGTGTTGAGAGGCTGTATCAAATGCAAGGAGAATTATTATTAATATTATTTGAAAAGAGAAGCCAAGGGGCTCAGCAAGACTAAACTTGCCAATGGATAGGTCCTCTGCAACCTAACCAACAAACAACACGCTTCATCTCACTCAGCAGGAAGTGTTATATACCCTTTGACCTATATTAGGCAACCACAGGAAACGCCCTTCTAAATCAAATACCAGTTTAAACTGCTTGGGTATTACACAAGCCTATTATAATTTTATGCTATCTGTATATCATAAATACTGTGAATCAGTAATCAAATGTATATGCAAGGAATGCTAAACACTATAACCAAAAATCAACTGCAAAACAATGAAAGTTCAACAGACTCGCATTGTAATTTGGTATAAAAATATTTATTCTTCTATTCATACAACATATTACAGAAACCACATACTTAAGATGTAAGTATTGTATATGTATTTAAATCCTATGTGTAAAGGATGCTTACAGTTCAGAAATTACTGCAGGATTTCAGATTATGTATAATTATATTAATAATAATTGTTGCATTTTGATAATCCACGTCATTGAGACAGGATATGCTGTAAAATTTTGTAGGCAATCACGGTAGCTAATTTGCACGCAGCAATGTCCCATTGAAGTAAATTACCAATGTAATGTTTAGTGTCTGTGGAGTCCAAAGCATTCAGAAAAGGGAGAGAGGGGAGAAAAGTGGAAAAAAAATTGGGGGGAATAAAATGGAGTACAATGTATATTTATATAGCACCTTTCACGTTGGGAGGTCAGGTTAAGCCTTACTGTTTTTCTCAAAAGAGTATGACCTTCCTGCACACGTGTTAGGTCCCACCATTTGTTCTACACCAGACATTCTTTATTGGTTCCTTTGATGGAGCTGATAAGTTTTGGGACAGTTTTGTGATATAGACACATAGTACACTAGATCATCTTGCTCACTTTGCACAGGGTGGTGGTGGGTAAGTGGTAAGATAAATTGAAAGAGAAAACCTCCATGTACTGTCACAATAGTTTTGTTAGCTTAGGCTTTTGTGTTACATTATCACTGCTGATTTTTACAGATAGCATTCCAACTCCACACATTTATAACTAAATCGGAACAGGAAAGAGGGAGAGGTAACTCCAGTGTAATGAAACAGGCATAAAAGAAGCATGTGGAGTCAGAGAATTTTTGATGTTCCTTTCAGTGAAATTCTCCTTTACCTAAATCAGTAAAATAATAAACTAGAATTAAAGAGGCACTGGAACATCCAGTTCAACTGATGTAACCAGATAAATTATTTGTAGATTTTAAACATTGTGTTCGCTGAGCAGTGAGCGATTTACTTAAAACTAAAGTTAATGGGGTCAGGTATGCACATCATGGAAACTCACATTGGTATATCACTCCCTTCTAGAAAAAAANCATGTGAGCAGAACCATGCCCAAGGCAAGATCAATGTTCTTGCCTCTTCATATCAGTCAATGAAATGGTGTTCAGGAATGTGTTAAATATTTTGCTGCGGTCTCTTTAGGCAACATGTGATAATGGAGGAGATGTGAGAATGAAACTTGAAATGTGATCTTTAGACTTCCATTTCCTGAAAAAAAATGCTAAGTGTGGAGGAAGCCAGGAAGCCAGTGCAAGGAATTATTACTGTCACTAGATAGTGGTGGGGAAATATTAGGCAGCGAAGGTGAGGGTGGGGAGGAGGCAGGAGTGGAGGGAAGGAGAGAGCAAGGAGGACAAATAAAGAGCATAAGGGATGGAAAAGAAAAGAAAAACAAGCTGAAAAGTGACAGAACACAAGCAGAGAAGGAACGGTGAGGACAGGCAGAAGAGGGAACAGATGGTGGGAAGATGGTTGGTGATAGATAATAGGAACGATGGAAGGAAAGGGTGGGAACTGTAGGTGAACAAGCAGTGGATCTGTAAAGGGAGAGAAGAAAAAGAGTTGTGTTTTAGAGAGGGATGGGATGTGCACAGAACGGGTAGTGTGGAGCTGAGCGAGCAAAGGTTGGGAATAGGTTTGGTATTGAATACCCAAAGGCAGTTCAAGACAATCTGCAGCCCAGGGCAAAACCTCATTGTGCTGCCCCCTCTCCCACCAGTAGCCCTCGCCATCTCCCCCACCCCTACCCTTCTCCGCCCCACCCACCCTCTCCACCTTCCCCCATCCCTGACTGTCCAGCGCCTTGGGACGTCCTCCTGACATGAAAGGATGCAATACAAATAAAATTTGTTGTTCTCCCCATTTCCTGAGGAACTAGCCTGACAGAAGTGAATCACAGAAGAAATAAAGCACACACACTAACCTGTACAATATCCAGCACCATCCCAGCTGTCACCGTCCCTAGTCCTGCCAGGAGAAAAGGGAACAAGATCTGGCATCCAATGGTGAGCACAGTCTCCTTGGGGAGCCAGGGTTTCTTGGTCTTGGGCTCCTCGCTGTTACTAGCAGAGCTTTCCTGTTCCAACAAGGTGTCAGTCTCCGAGGTGATGTCGCTGTCCAAGTGGAGCTGAGTGTTGGGCATCTCAGGGTTCTCATGGCTGGGTTTGCGAGCCCTGTGGTTCGTGGTGCTTTGGTTGAACTGCGACAGGAGAAGCTCTGCTTCATTGGCTGCAAAACGATCGGCTGGCCCAGGAGGAGTGTGTAACTCGTAGATTTGAGCACAAGCCATTATGGATCATGCTGCCCCTTCCTGCCAGATAGCTTGAGAAGAGGCAAGTAACAACACAGCCTGTTCCCCGGGGCTTGTTGTGTTGGGTTTTTTTTCCCCTTCTAATAACACACGCACACACACAGCCGAAAAGAGCAGTTAACACAGCTCCCGAACTTGGCTCTTTGGCAAACCTCCCAACTTATTGTCCTGCCCAGAATCTGCCTGACAAGTGAACGGCTTCCGTTTATTATTCATTGCCACATCAGCAATGCGTTGCTACAGACACACATAAAGATATCACACAGATAGACAGACACACACGCGCACGCACAGAGAAATACACACACAGAGAGATACACGGACACACACAGAGACACACACACAGAGACACAAAGAGAGATACACACACACACAGAGACACACACAGAGACACAGAGATACACACACACAGACACAGAGACACACACACAGAGACACACAGATACACAGACACAGAGATACACACACAGAGACACACACACACACAGAGAGACACGCACACAGATACACAAAGAGAGATACACACACACACACACAGAAACACACAATCCCAGATCCCTGTATGCTGCTTATCTTTCTTTCTTAAGGTTGCACTCTCCTCCTCCTTCTCCTTCTCCCACCCAAACTCAAAAGAAACTATGTCTCGGAAATAAACGTCATTTGACCCTGAAACTATTTCCTTGTGTGTGTGTGTGGTGTGTGTGTGTGTGTATGTATGATGGTTTTACTTCCTTACTCATTCCTTCTTTCTCCCATCCAACTGAATCTGCTGGTTTCTCTGTTATGTGGGGTGCAGCCTCTGTGCGCTGGGCTGTTTTTTAACCGTAAAATATGCAGTCAAGTCACTTTACAGTATAGATTGTGAAGAGCTTTGAGACGTCTCAACGATGTGTTAAGGCACCATATCAAATGCAAGGATTATTATTATTATTATTGTTGTTGCAGTGAAACCAAAGCCCAGTTGTTGTAGGTGGGAGGCATGGCATTCTCCATTTGATTTGAATACTCTTAGGATACTCTGAAGCACGTTGATGGGTTTCCACACATGTCAAGACACCCAGCTGACCCCCCAAAAAATTGCTGTGAGCACACATCACTTGATGTTGAGATACCCTGTCCACTTTAAAACTACACATCTCATCGGCATCACATGCCGATAGCATGCGATAATGATACTTTTATTAGTCACAAACCTAAAACGCTTTGCAGTAGTTTGGATTTTTATAAAGCACGACACTGGATGAGTTTGTACTGTTTGAAACTGTCCTATGTATTTTCAAAGCTTGCGTTGGTTGCAATGGCAGATTGTGGGAAGGGGTGAGATGTTTTTAAGAAAAAAAGAAAACAGACAATTACATAAATTACAATATGATTGAAATAAATGCAGCTTTTAAAGATGCAATGAGTCACGTAGCACAATATTATGTTTTCATAATATCGGTGACTCACTGAGTGAATGATGCCGCAAAACTAGTCCAAAGGCCAAATGGATTTATTGTGCAAGATGTTCAGTTTGGAAGAAAACATTTAGTGGAAGAAGAGAGGTGCAGTGGGTCAGAACAATACCATTTGACTTATAATAACAATCCTTGCATTTTGATGTAGTGCTTTTCACTAGGGAAAAGTGCAACCAATGTGCATACAATGTCCCACAAACAGCCATAAAGTGAATGTTCAATTTTATCTGGGGGGCTTGCTGGCCAAGATCCCAGGAGAAAATCCCTTCACTTCTCAAATAATGCCCTGGAGTCTTTAATATCCACTTAAACAGGCTTACCATCTCATCTAAATGACTATGACACCTTAACAAATGAAGCCCAGCCTGACAGGATGAAGGTCTATTTTCCTGTGGGTTCTCTCCCCGCCCTCCTTGTTTGAAGGCACTGACCCAGGCTGGGGTGTAAGTGTTTGGGTGCTGGGCACCGTCCTGTACCTCCATTCTTCACAGTGAGCCTTACAGTGAGCACTTGCAGATTGTGACTGCGGGAATCATCGTAGCCAAGCTCAACCCTGCCTTTACCCAATTACCCACTCTTAACGTCACAGGTGAGTGGATAGCTCACCAAAAGCTTCTGACTCACTCTGTACAGTGTATAGTTCCATGGCTGTCAGTTGCCCTTTGGTAATTTGCTCAAGTGTCATTGTTTCAAGAGGGCATTGTTTAACTCCAAACCTGGACACGAGTGTTGGCAAGCTATTTGAATGCCAAGCCTTATCCTACCCTCACTCAACATCTACCCACGCATTCACTTTCCAGCAGAGGATGAGTGGATATAATATATAATAATAATCTTCTAGATGTCTCAAAGCGCTTCACAGAATAGACTGTAAAGTGAATCGACTATACATTTGTGGGCGATACGCAGCAGCCAATTGCGCACAGCAGTGTCCCACAAACAGTCGTGGATTGAAAATGACCAATTTATTGTTTTTGTTTTTGGAGGGATTACTATTAGGCGTGTGGAGTAAGGAAACTTGCCCAAGGTTTGCTCTGCCTGGAATTGAACCCAGGTGTCTCCCTTGCAAGGCGAGTGCTCTAATCACTGAGCTACAGGACTCCACAAATAGTGACCAAGAACGCAAGCTAAAACCAGCTAACTCAGCAGTTATCCTGGCACTCACTATGCAAAATACTATGGAACTTAATTTAAGTGGAAGGTTGACAGTGTAAGACCATTTCTCCCAAAAATACAAAATGACTTCACTATACATTAATTCCTGTGAAACACTCTGACGCGAAAGGGGTTATATCAAATGTAAGGATTATTATTCTTTATTCAGCAATACTAACCTCCACAAGAAAAAGGTATGTCTTGCTAGTATTAATGTTGCTTTAAAGTTTTGCAATTGTTCACGGCAACATCAAAACAGTCACGGCACTTGACAATAATTAGTGTGAGGTGCTCTGCAACTTTCTTTTTTTAAAAAAACTTTATTAGAAGAATGCAAGTTATTTTCCCAAAAGTAAAACCGTACTTAACCTAGATTTCTGAAACATTCTTGTTGTGAGAGTTCCATTGGTTGCTGCCATCGCTACATTCATTGAACTGCCAATGTGCGTCACCAAACAAATAGGTTCACAATGTGAGGAAACGGTGAGAGAGAAGGATATCCTGCCAGGACCAGGGCAGCAGTTTCCCCCCTGAGCCTGAATTCAATTAGTTGAAGAGAAAGGAGCAAAGCATTTTGTGTACTTAAAAAGGGATTTAAAACAAACGTGTTGCATGTGATGCTTTGATTACATTTTATCCTTGTTCACAGAGCAGCATTCCAAAAGCACGAGGCATTAACATGAGTGGCTCCATTAAAAGTAATTATAAATAAGTTAGTGTTCAAATTAAAAGTAACAAGGTAATAAGAATTTCACAGAGTGCAGTGGAATGAAGAAGATAATTGAGCTCATTTCAGACCTTAATTAAGACGTTATGTAAAATAGGGAATAATCTGCAGTTCAAATTTAAACACGTTTAAATTACGCATAATTCATGATTTGAGGAAACTGCATTAATTTGGATAATCATTTTTGATTAATAACTAATTTAAGGTTTCATAAAGTTAACCCTTTATGGACAGATTAAAGAAACCAGAGAGAGGGCAGTGTCAATCTGAAACTGAAATTTTCAGGTATTCATCAATCATCTTCCAGGCTTATGTAAGTATGTAACTATAATGGACAAGAGTTTACTTATTACCCCCGGAAAGCGATCCACCAATCAATTAACAACCAGGTTCCTACTTACTGCTAGGTAAACAGAGATGTGTGGAACAGGGAAACTTGCCTAAGGATTCGCCCTGCCCAGAAGATGCACCTGGAGTATAAGTAGCCATGACCAGTCCTGCAATCCCCCTAATAATCAGAAGCAATATGTGGAAAAATTCTTAATGGTCTCCAATATCCATTTATTCTCTACTGCATAGTCCGCCGCCTGTCCCAACTCATATCTGGAATTGGCACTTCTTGACAAGGTAAGGATCGGATTGCGATACGTATACTGTCTTAGTGGATAAGCAATCGCTGGAGGGATACAATGTTAGGAACAGTTTTGTATTTCTGTTATTTATTTTGCTTTACATTAAACTACATGCTGTTGCCTGAATGCCCTCCTGTGGTACAATAGTCAAGCAGTGGTGGGAAAAGTACAGGTGCCCAGTTGGAGATTTTACTACCGAGCAACAAATTCCAGAAAAAGAAAGGAATTCAGTTAACAGGTAAATAAATACATAATTACAGACTCAACGTAAAGACATGTAGGAAGAAGATAGTAAGTAGTCAGTATATAATAACAGCAAATGCAACAGATTCAATCTTTAATTATAACATGGTGCAAAATTACAAACCTGAATAAATACAGCCTGAAAGGAGGTGGAGTAATCTTTAGCTAAAGGGCAAACATGGTATTTATAAAATGGATGCACACCTTAGAGGCGATTGAACTGTTAGGAGGAACTATAAGGGAAGAGACAACACGACTCCTGTGTCTGCACTTCATTTTCAACTACAAACACAATTCCTTGCCACAATAACATTGTTACACTAAGCAAAACAGCAGGAATGTAGCAGCACCCACCCTTTCATGTCAGAATATTTAATAAAGGATTTACAGTTCCTAAATATAAATAGCTAGTAAAGATAACTACTGGGGACTTAAGTGCCAAAAGCTTCAGACGCTTCTCATCTTCCTTCTTCCAGATATGTCAGTACCATCAACTGAATCATCCGCTTCAGAAAGTAAATTCATACAATGGTTTTCTCTCGTGGCCCCCGGCTGGCTCTAACTGGACAAGTATCTGGAAGCTTGCCAAACACAATGCACAAATTGGCAAACTATGCGGTTTTAGCTGGTGTAACTCCAGCAGCACCCCGATGCCCAATCTGGGCTTGTGCATTGGGGTACTGCTGGAGTTTTATACATTATACAGTGTAAGCTCCTGATAACTTGTCACTCCAAAACAAAAAGGGGTCAATGACAAATTATCCGGAGTGGCGAGTTAGACATATGTATAAATACAATCAAGAAATGTGGCCAGGATATTGACAGCATGATGACTTAAGGCACAGTGCCAAGTTAAGCCAGGAGTTTACTGTATGTTGGTATTACAAATGAGGCAGCCAACCTACCACCACACTTCAGCACGGTGTCCGAGGTGAAGTCAGCCTGTCAGCTAACTGCTTGGTGGACCACTGTGGAGTATTGTCATCTAGCGTGAGAGGTCATTGTGTGGTAAACCTCACTTTGTTGCTGCAGGACGCCACACACACACACACACACGCGCGCACGGGAACAGTGGGAATCTTGCAGAACTTTGGGATGGGTCCAGTGCTTTATAATGAAGACACAGTGGGACAGCTAAAGACACAGACAGCAATCCTGTCAAATACACCTTTATTAAAATATGCAGTGACAGTTTACAAAAGCCGTCTCAAATATGTTATCTTAAGGAAACAAAAACGATTCTTCCCTAAAAAAATAAATTTGCACTTAACACAGTATAAATACAATAACAAAAACGTTCAATTCTGTACACTGTTTAAAATTTGTGCTTCCCCGCATGCAAATCCACTATTAATTGTTAATTAATTGTCTATTTTGTACCCTTACGGAATTCAACAGAACAGTTCAAAGATAGTTACAGTGACTTGTATTTTATACTTTCCCCCCCCCGCCCCTCCAGGCAACAGTTAAGTAAATACACAATAAATTTCTCATCTTTTTTTAAAAAATCAGTATTTGCAATGACCAGTGTTTGATTATATTATGAGGTACTGTGAACTAGAACCAAATACAATTCCAAAATAAACGGAGCATTCAGCTCTTAACACTCCCTCCCCTTTGCAAATTAACCAATTGGTAGTGCATTGCACGCAGACGTGCATATGTCATGGCTTTCGGACAGCTTTGGCTAAAGCAACACAGTAGGTCGAGTTTGCAGTAACTGCAGTTAATTCAAGTAACACTAAAAATGTTCACAGTAAACGAATATGAACCTAACTGCACACTCTTGCTGCGATTATTCAGTTCGCAGCAAGAGAGCAGTGGTTGTTCATCAACAGTCTTTAAACCCGATGACTGTTTGACAATGTCTGTGTCTAGCTTAGAAATGTCCGCAATTTGAACACAGTACAAGCAGAAAAAACAACTTTGGTACAGCATATTTTTACGATCCTGTAGCTCTAAGTGTACAATGGTGCGAAATAGTAAAAAGCCAACTGCTAAATTAAAATGTCAAGTTTTCAGTTTTATGGCTGGCAAGATTCTGCAAGCAAATCCCTGAAGCATGAGCTAAAGTGCCCTACTTTCTACTTTGGTGTCAGCTGCTGCAAAATGAAGCCCCTTGATAAAGAGGACAGCATGCCTCATTACCACAGTAACAGACAGTTCTCCTCTGTCTGTCGGTGCACACATAAATGTTCAATATTCTGTTAATGGAAAGGATTAGCAGGTCGGCCACACGACGGTCGTACTGAGTAGTTCTATTGCAGCTACTATAGATTCCTAACCCTGAACACATAGCTTTTCCCCCTTACATTTTTGCTCAGTGCCTGTTTTTTCTCCATGTGGTGAAAAAATAGAAACTGTCAAAACAGTCCACGAGAGGTCGCCCTATCACTGCCATGGGGCCTGGATGCAGGAGCTCAGCAATGGAATGGAAATGATTACTCTGCATCAACCCTCTCAGAACCAGTGTGCCAACGCCTGGTCAAACAGAGGTGCGTAACACACCTCTACAAACTTAGACAACGGTAAAGGCGTCTGCAAAAACTTTTGCGGGAATCCTGCAGATACCTAATGCTCCAGGCACCAATCTCCCACCGAGTGCTAAGAACGTTCTTTGGCCTCAAATCTGACTGCACGTAACCGAACCCGAGAATGAGCGCAATTCCAGCAGGTCAGCCTGACACAAACTAGCTACCTTCAGGATTTTTGGAAGCCCCTCTCCCCCACCCACCCACCCACCCCCCCACCAAATACAACCACAATTGTGGCATTATATCTCTAAAGGTACAATGCCCTGAGACAACTTGTACAGCAACAGTCTAAAGTCAATATCTAAAGTCAAGCATTCGCAAGCAAAGCTCCACACCAACACTGTCGTTTGTGGCTTTTAAAACGTCAGGAAGGCAGCGAGCTGCTCCACAATATCTCCATATGATTTTAAAATAAAATGTCCGCGCTTTTTGGGGAAGGCTTTTTTTTTTACGTTTCTAATTATGTTACCAAATCATAATAAAAAGTGGTTACTCTTACATTCCCAATCACATACTTCATTTTGGAGCAAAAAATAGTAGTTGGAAATGGTCCAAAAGATAAATACAGTAGTAGCACATTAATATATTTACTGGTTTTAACAGTAGATGAACACTTAGAAAATTATTTTGGTCCATAAACATTATTTGATGAATATTTCACATTCTGATGTTGGAACTTGTTGAGTATACAGGACCCACACACTTATTTGCAATATATGTGCTTCCCATGGAAACGTGGAACCAATTTACACTGTTCATTTAGCGTCTCCCTTTCTTCCCAGCTGAGCATGGCTAACAGATGCGGAATACTTAAGGCACACATCAGGTAAACTTTGAGGGATACTGGTTCCAGGCAGTGTCGGGAATTGAAAACCACTGCATCTGTTAGCCATTTCTAACACCGGAGTCGGATTTAAACCACATCACAAGTTAAACCCCTTCCAGAACCAATTAAAGCACGGTACATTTTTGGTTGTGCACTGCAGCTGCGTACAGTTTAAAATTTGTTCTTTTTTTGTTTTTAGTAAATGAGCGCCCAGCATTAACGTTTCGGTCCAGGAAAATTTATCTGTCATCAATTCTGTGCCACACAATCTTGGTTTGTACGTTTGCATTCTCTTTGGTCGATAGCTAAAGTGTCTCCTGCGCAAACTACTGTGTGCCATTCAATAGAATTAGCCACATTGTGAAAAATATTAAAAATCTACAATTGTTGATTTAAAACTACAATGCTCGAGCAAAAGTAGCTACTCGCTTATCACTCTGTGCCGCTCACAGTTAACGCACTACCTTAGTTACTACACAACTTGCTTTTTTTTTAATACAGCTCCCTTCACAGAGCGCACTCTAGGCAGGAGTGTTCCTTTGTGCTTCGTATCTGTCATTTGAAAGTTAAAAGCCAATTTATATTGGACCAGTAGTAGAATTCTCACAGTGTAGGGTGTTAGTATTACACCTGATAAAGCATGCAGTTTACTGATACCTCCTTCTTTGTTTCCAACATTCTGAATATAATCCACGAAGGCAAGGGGTGCAAACTACTAACCTATTAACCTCACATTTTTAACTCCATGTAGACGACTTAAATTAAGATAATGCACAGACTCTGAACCTAAGAGCCGGTGCTTTGTTCAGCTCTAAAGTGCCTTCTTTACCACACTAACTACAACACCTAGGATTCTTGGGTTTCTCATTTCTCATGCACAGCACATTTACTTTTCCCTGTGCATCGCTGATATGAAGTTTCTCCTACTGAAAGCAATCCTTTACAAAGTGCCGAGGCACAAGGTCACAGAGCAGTATAAAGAAGGACAATGTCTGGTGTTACTGACTCGCACAGTAGCAAGGGACTAAGTTTCAAAGAAGCTCCTTGCACTGTGCATTCATTCATCACCTCAGTTCTCAATGGACCAGCACCAATATTTTTATATACATCTTGAAATTCAAAAAAAATGGCACTTTTATTGTGATTACTACTATGCTTAAATTTGGTCATTCCCACCTTACTGTCATTTAAAATGACATTTCTAAACCTGGCCGTAATCTGTGCTCGGCAATTAATTATGCCTGGTCTGACTTCCATTCGTATGATTCCTCTGCAATTCTGTAAGTAGAGACACTGCATCTGTGGGGTTTGGAAGCATTCTGGAAGGATCGCTTTACACAGCGAGATGTTTCAGAAGTAGGAAACACGCCCAAGTGGTCAAATTGGCATTGATGCCTCCTGTTTACAGTATTACTAAGATCCTTGTCATTGATCTACGTGCACAACAATGTGATCGGCTGATCCGTACAGCAAGGTATACACAAGTATGTCTGTGTGTGTGCATGGCTGTTCCAAGTGGTACATTTAAACAAAGCGCCTCCACGATGCCAGACAAAACAAACAGGCTTATAAATCGTGGGGCACTGTCATTGTTATCCTAACTATTTATAGCAGGGCATTTTAAATTATTGATAACCTGCTCTATTGAACAATAGGCATTTATTTTCTTGTAACCTAAGTTAGGTTCCTTCATTATGCTGCAATCATGCACATCTATGAAAATAAATTCTATTTTCTTTGTTCAGTGTGCAATGGATTATCCATCTGTACTTTGCCATCTTGAAGAAATTCTTCAAGTAGAGCAACAAATCATTACCTTCTTCTGCTCAATCCTCATACAATAAAGTCATATCTCATCATAAATTTCTTCATAATCTCTCACCATCACTACTTGCCTTCAACCTTCTTTCACACATACCGTTTAAACTCATCCCTCAACAGCTGCATTCCTTATTGTTACCATTCTTCCACGTCTGCACAATTCAGTCACCTTTCTAAACCACAGACTTCATTAAAATGTTGTTCTTCTCTTTACAACAATTAGGACTTGCATGTAAAACTACAATTATAACTTGCTGCTACCTTAAAACAGACAGAGCATTGCAAAAACATATGTTGCTCATATAGATTTCTTGCATCGCCTCAAATCGATGGGCATTCTGCAAGACAAAATGTTACAGGTTAACCCAGTTTGTAAAGTCACCCTGTGTATTTGGTGTCACCCTAACCAGGAATACGAGTTCAAATCCCACAGACTGTATTTGAAGTATTTCTTTGAGTGTGGACACTCCAGATTGAGACAGAATGCTTTTACTCAGCATCACAAAGGCTTTGCAACGAGGTCACCTCATTACTAATACAGTACTCCTTGTGGTTGCCAAACAAAGCAGTATGATCACTAACACAGGATCAACCGACTTATAAATAAATTTATATTGTCCAGTAAACATTAATTTGTTTGTGCAAGCTATTTAAGTGATTCGGAAAAGGCTTGTTTTTTGTGAATAGATTCAATGTTCTATAGACACATACACACGCACACACATACATACAAACATATAGATACAGTACCCTGGCACTAAAACAGAAAGAAGTCTTAGACTGAAAGCAACTCCCATGGCTTGTACTTGCACATAGTCCCTGTAAGAAGCAGTCCCTCACTGCTTTTCTTGCCCAGATTAACCAGGTTTTCCTGCTTCTCTCAATGCCTCTTGAAGCCTCTCTCTGTAGGCTGCATATCGTTTGCATATAACCCGAAAGTGTTCCTTTTCCTCTTTGTCCAAGATACGCAGGAAATTTTTCAGTTCTGGGAGACTAAAGGCTTCCCACTGGAGAAAGAACAATTAGGTTTAGCATTAATAACTAATAAAAAAATGATTAATTACAATGTAATTCAGTTGCTCTAATCTAATTAAAAACTAATACTGGTAGAGATGTGGCCATATACAAATAGACAGTAACATTTTAGGTCTTAGGTTAGGATATTCAGTTTGAGTCTGTCAATGAAGAGTTTATGACTATAATAGACAAGAGGAAAAGCACCTACCAACACTTCTCCAGTCTCATGCTCACGCAGAATAAAATTTAGACCTTCTGCACTGGGACCTGCCAGCAGACACAGGTAAAGGGGATGTTCAGAATCCAGCAATTTGCTTGCTTGGACTGCAAACAGGAAAGAAAGAAAAACATGAGGTGAGTCAAATAGATCAACAATTCAGGAGCCAGTATGTTGGATACACCGTCTGTTTGCATATACTCCAGACCAGCAGTGGAATAAAATGCCTTTACCCTGAAGCTATATATGAATCGCCTGCACACACACCTATAAACTCAGTGCTGTATTAGTACTGATATTTAATCAACAATTATAACGAGAGTTTGTGCAGCAACAAGACCCTTATGTTACTGCCTTCAGGGATCTTAAAAAATAGATAATTTATAAAAGTAACCTAGTTTTGCATACCTGGCAGAGAGTAGCTTTTCTCTATAGAGAAGCAGCAACGCTGATGGGTTTGCTTACAAATGCTGCAGTCTTGGGATGGTTTCATTACAAAGACAAGCATTGCATAATCATGGCTGAAATAGTCACTTTATTTGGTGAATTGAGCACCTATTTAAAGAACTTCTATGGCACAGCCCTCCCACAGCAGATTTTGGTGCTAAATATGTCCGTTCGCATCACGTTCCCATGAAAATTGGCGTCAGTCTGCAGTGGAACAGGAACTTGTGGTCACAGCATCCTCTTTTAACAAATGCTTTAACAATGGTTTTCCTGGTAGAATGGGAAGCAGGGTTACTTCCTTCATTGATTAATTTGCTTTAAGCAACAAGAATTTTTTTTAAAAAAAGAATGCTTAGCCAGCAGTTCTCTTTAGAAACAAACTCTAAAAAGTGCTAATTTTCAGCAAACGCTTCTTTAGCAGAAGTGACAATTCAGCAGGAATTTTTCAGAAAGTACATCTGGATTCTGTGAGGGCAACAGTGAATTTCACCAAACTAGGACTGGCTTCAGTTCCATTGGTATGTTTTATTTACAAAGGAAGCCTTATAGAGAATAACAAATCACATATTACCGTGACAGATATCTGCAGTTCCCCAAATACTGATCTGGGAGAATGCACGGAATGAAGACTTAATTCAATTTTTTTTAAATGAAACTCTCATGAACCTCAAGGTTGGTAGCCTTGTTTGGCATTAAAAATAAGCTCTTGAGTTTTAACATCTGTGTAGGAGGGGGTAGTGATAGTAGAATAAAGAAGCGACCAGTCTGCCAGAAGTAAACATTTACTGCAACATTGTGTTAACTTGGATAATTATTATTCATAATAATAATCCTTGCATTTGGTATCGCACCTTATCACGTCGTTGTGACGTCTCAAAGCACTTCACAGAGTACATTGTAAAGTGGATTGACCCTGTATTTTTTGAGCAGACAATTATGCACAGAGGTGTCCCAGGAACAGTCGTGGATTGAGTTGAGTGACCACATTTTTTTTTGCGAAATTATTTGAGGGTTCCTATTTCCTTCTAGTTAAACAGAGGTGTGTGCTCTGCTGTGCTGTATAATAATAATAATCCTTGCATTTGATATAGCAGCTTATCACGGCTTCCGAGACGTCTCATTCGTACACCTAAACCAATTAACTTTTTTCTTCTATTTAAAGTATTTCTGAGTAAATATTTCTCCTACACAAAAGCATAGTACCTTGCTCGTCTTTCTTGAACTGCTTGAACAGTGCAAACTTTGCAGGGTTATCAGCAACCAAGAACTTCCTCAGCAAGGCCACAATGACCTCCTTCGCAGTATTGCTGCTGCTGATGTGCAGGATGTTGACAATACCCTTGGGCATGTAGAAGGCAGTTTCATTATTGTTATTATTATGCACATTTGTCCCCTGATTTGCCATGGGCCGTACAGTGATAGGCCTGCGTAAGTCCATCTGAACCTTGATAAAGCCGGTGTATGTGTCACTACTTAAACTCTAGAGAGAGACAGAAAAAAAACAACATACAATTAGAGGATCGCTACTGTGATTCCACACACATACTCAAAACAAAGCAAGGTTTACTAATGATCAACTAAACTGGAGGATTGCTGGCCAGGACACTGCGACACAACTTCCTTTTCTTTTCGAATAGTGTCATGAGATCTTTAATGTCCATCTGAACAGGCAGACGGGTCTTTGGGTTAACATCTCATTCGAAAGACTTGCACATCTTAAAAAGATCACTGACGAACCCAAACCTGCCCCAACGTGGCACACACTTTTTTTTGATTTATTTAATTATATAAAGAATTTTCAGTGTGCATTCTCAGTCTGACTTCCAACCCACTACCTCTGAAGTCAACTCTAGTGACCATTGATTGGTTTGCATTAGTTGAGATCAACCAACTCAGTACAGATTGTGCATCAAACCTGGCACCTTCCTGATGTCCATTGCTCAGCTGTGCACTGGACAATGTTGTTTCTAACTAGGCCAATGTATTCTTTCTGCCTAAGGAAAAAAAAAGGGGTACAAGCAAAAGGTCTTTTGCTCCAGAATAAACTGGGAACTACTTTTGTATCAACCCAACAGAGCTGAAGAACTCAGACGATATTTGAGCTTGGGCTGCCATCTTGCACACATGTCTGAATGATGGGCAGCATCCAATTTAATTTGCGTATAATATGAGAAGACTGCAGTTTTTCAAAAACCCTCTGAGGAATTTTCAAATATGCATTCCTCAGTTCCCAGAGCATTCGAGTGAAGTCACACACCAAATAACAAAACCGCAAAGGGCCCTCATTTTAATAACCAGGAACAAAGACATACTTTTACAAGACTTTTTCAGAGTTTAAAATGCTGCATAATTAGGTATAAAGCTGAGACTTTCAATTATGCAGTTGCTGGAAACCTTCAACCATTGCTCTGGGGGAGCTGGGTTTTGGCATTTTTCAGATCTTGTGAGTGGGAGGAGGGATCTTTAATGCCACAAATACAGAGTTGAATGTCAATGCTAAGCATTGAGTTGGTTAGATAGGAGAGACAGAACGAGTGGTGGTGGGGGGGGGGGGAACAGCACAAGGATTTACATTTTTCCCTTTTTCTAAGTGCCAGTCAGTAGGAGTTGCTCCTCGGGCTAGTTAAATGAGTGACAGGCAGATTGCAGACCACCATGACACAGAAATACAGAACTCTGGAAACATAGACCAGATTGTCCAACTGTACGATAGCCAGTTGGCAGGCCATGTAAATTAAGGTCCATGTGGTCTTTTGATTTTTATTGATGCTTTCTCACATAATGCCAAAAATGAGCAGTAGTTGACTGTCTAGCAAATCTAGCATCAATCGTTCTATGTCTGGAGGTATCTCCATTTGTGGGAATTAATTATATATATTATATATATATTATAAAAATCACTTACCAAAGTCATTTTTAACCTGTCTGCCACTGCTGTGTTATACAAGTGGATTTTTTGTTTGATCTCTTCTTTTGTAAGAACTTTCGGTGGCTCTCTTGATTTCTCAACATCCTGGAACAAAAANGGGAGAAAATCTTATTTCAAGCAAAGATTGGCTGACCAATTGTTTGGCAAAGGTTTGAAGACCCCCTGTAGAGAATAATTCAAATAAATCTGTTGTGACTAGTAATAGGTAAAAGGAAGGATATATTTTGGACATAAGAAATTGATGACCTGCACCCATATGTTCACAGACCAGGGCAGCTCTTCTTACATTAAAATAGAAACATGTGGGAAACCAGAATTGTCTTCACCTTACTCGTAATTTGAACTATCCTTGAACCGGTTCTGCAGTATCTTGGGCTATAAACAAGGTAACAAAGCTGCCTTTATACTTTATTGTAGAACCAGTTCCTAATGTCCTCATCTCTGTCCAATGGCAATCACATTATTTTTACTGTGGGATAATCTTTGGTGCGGGCAGATTCACCTGAAATGTTTACAAGTGCTTTATGTCGTATTCTCAATTACAGGGCACTCCAGAACCTGCTCAAGTGGAAATTGATTCTGACGCACCCTAGGCTTCTGATTTTACCATCCTCAGTCCAGAGACTTTAAATATTAGCACCCAACTGCCAAAGTCAAGATCAGCAAATTCAGCAAATATTGAGATTGAACTGGACCTTTCTTAAGATTGTATGACTCCGCTTCAATCTCGACCAGTGGATTTACGAAATGAACTATTGAAGCTTCCAGGCAAGGTCATTGAGGAGTCAATTGGTTAATCACAGAGACATTAGTAAGAAAGACATGGATGGTTTGGATTGCACCTTTCATTCACTCGGCCCCTACTCTGTGGAACTCCTCTCTCGCACAGACTTTCCCCATTTTCAAAACCCTCCTTAAAAAAAACTACCTCTTTGTCTGTGATTTTAATCATCTTCCTCTAATGCCCACCCCCCCTTGCACAGTGATCCACACTATCTCTGGAAAATGCTTTAGATTTTTCCTACATGAAAGTCACTATATAAGTGCAAGTTGTTGTTCAATCACCACCATGGTCTAAGATATATTCAGAGGGTTTGAAGGGTCAGGGTCGGTATTCTACTTCATGGAAATTCCAATTTCTCTAACTTTAGTAGAACAGATTAATCTGCAGCCACTGAGAAGTCAGGACTAATTAACTTTCTGCTCATTCTCAATCAACACTCATTCTTTCTTCCTGGAGCATTCCAAAATGCCAGGCAACTAATCAGCATTATGCCAGCTTTATTTGCATTTTTATGCCCAACCACAACAAACACAGCTATGTTCTTAATGCTGCAGTGCAAAAAGGACTTGTTAATGTCCATGTGATATTCATTAGCTCTTTAAACTGGCGCAGGATTGAACTCTGAATTGACTTCAGCAGGAGTTCTGCAGAACTGCCATGGGCTAGAATAGACCTCAAATTACCACTCAAAGGCATCACGCTACTTGAATGTATACAAGGAAGCAACAACGTAGTGAAATTAGTTGGCATAGACATTAAAGGAGAAAATATAAACCAAATGCAAATCATTTACATTTGGCACTTTCCACAAAGATCAGATGACACCATTTTCTGTGCTCGTGTTTAATAGGATCCACTGAGGTCATCTCTATTAGACGAGGATCTTACTTCCTCCAGAGACTAACATAGCACTGAAGTCATTTCAGGTTATACAGTGCAAACAATGTTAGAAATCTTTAATTTGATGGTGTGGTGCACTGAATATGCAACTCTCAATGAGGGATATTGGGTGGAATACTGAATACTGGCTTTATACTGAACTCATATTGCTACTGCACTAAAATAGAAGCCTCTCCGCGAAAGGAATGAAGAGAAGAAAAGGTGAGAAAACAAAAAAATATTCAAACACACACATGTGGAGGGACAGATAAGAATAGTAATCCTTGTATTCGATATATGGTGCCTTACCATGTCGGTGAAAAGTCTCAAAGCTCTTCCTGGTATTCCTGTGAAGTGTAGTGACTGTATTCACAGGCAATTACATACACCCATGACCAACAATGGCCATGGTTATCTGCAATGACTGTAATGTTAGCGTTCATCCAGGAGCAGATCAGCTACAGCACTGTCTCTCTGGTGATCAGGTGAGTTGTAAGCATGGCCACAGATAAGGGAGCAAGGCAAGCTAATGCAAATATCTACCAGTGAGGCACGAGGCAAATGAATAGTGTTCATTTAAGTAAAGCAAAAAAAATTAAAATACTGCCTTAAAAACACTGCCAGGTGGCATTTATTATTCTTCACTTTATTATTGCCTCATTTAATTTTCCCATAAAAAAAATTCAATATGTTTGGCCTGCCTACAATAATACAATGCAGATAGAATGACATAGGTCAATGCAGATTATGGTGACATTGTAACTGGAGGTGCACAATTTCTTTGTCACAATATAGAACTGTTAGCAGAGTAGGGATGTGCTGTTTTGTGTGTTCTGTACTACGTGAGCTACACATTGCTCTTTGCAGAGATCATTTCTCAGTAAATAAACTGTGCAACATTTTCTTCAGTTTCTTAAAACAAGCAGTAACAGTAAGATAAAGCTTGCATATCGAAATATCTCACAACCCCTCACAGGTAATTAATTGCTAAGTGTGTTGACTATTTTGCAGACAAACATGGCAGTCATTTATACCAGCGAGGTGTCAAACAGTCAGTCACGATGTGAACCAGTTAATCTGGAGAATGGTTAGCCTGGACACTAGGAGAAACTAACTTCTCTTTTTGAATATTGCGATGGGATCTTTTACGTCCACCTGAAAACAGGTGATTGTGGGGGGAGTGGGCATCATCCAAGATACATCACCACCCACATTGCAGTAATCTGGAATTGCACATTCCATAGGAATATCAGCATGGGCTATGAACTCGAGAACATCAGCAAAAGGTTATTGCGTCAGCCTCTGACAGCAAATAAAGATAAAGTGAACTTGCTGTCAGAGTGCCTGAAGTCTTTATCTCTGCCGGGTACCGGCTGTGCCTGGTTTCTTCCTGCCCTCTAAGTAAACTTTCCCCACCATGTTTTCAGGCTGCAGGTGGGCTGAGCTGTCTGCCTGCTGCTACAAGCCAGCAATGCAATATCTAGGCTTAAATCTATAACTATCTGATCGAGAGGAGAGTGTGCTACCAGCAAAGTCAAATTGACACTAACAATATTTTGGGGTATAAAAGACGAGTTTGATTTCCTCACTCCCTCTCCTTAGAGCTTCTTCTCTAATGGATTGAGGTGGCCGTCCATTGTGTAGAGGATATGTAGAACTAATTCAAACCTGCGATGAAAATTGCACACGACGTGCTCTCCACAAGTGTGCAGTTTTTAATCAGTATGTTGGCAGATTACTGAATTGTGCTCAATTTATTTTAGGCACCAGCAGAATTATACACACTGCAAACCAAATCAAGCTTGAAAGTTTTTTTTAAAAATATTTAAAAAACTACTTTAGCTAAAAACTATGCATTTAAAAAAGTTATCAATTGCCTCAGTGCTTTGGGAGTGCAAGCTAGATACACTGTGAGACCATACAAGGCCAAGCTGACTCCTGCAGCAAGTGCCAAGACTCCAAACAAATCATACTTAAGTAAGAGCTTATTTTGGATCAGCTTCTCTGCAAGTTTTTAAAGACATTTTCTTGGCAGACTCTAGTATTGTAGGTTTCAAGAATATATATATATAGTAAAAAGTTCATCTATTTACATTTTTACAAACCATTAAAAGAAGGAACAGAGATGAAAACACCAGTCTTAATACATTTGGGGGAGGGCGGCTGCAAAATGCAATCTTTCAAAACAGATTGTGACAATTCATATTAAAGTGAGTATGGAAAAAAAATCACAAATGCAAGGATTATTAATCATCACCTACGGACGTGTAATGTTGATAGGATTCTGGGGGGGTTCTTAAGTATTAACTGCTTCTGAAAAACTAAGCTTTTCCAATGTTGGGTAGGAGGTGGATCAAAGACATTAATAATAATAATAATAATCCTTGCATTTGATATAGCACTTTTCACGTCGGGAGGACGTCCCAAAGCGCTTCACAGAACACACTGTAAAGTGAATTGACTGTATATTTGTGGGCGAACGCGGCAGCTAATTGCGCACAGCAATGTCCCACAAACAGTCGTAGATTGAAAATGACCAATTTTATTATTGTTTTTGGTTTTGGAGGGATTATTATTAGGCGTGTGGAGTAAGGAAACTTGCCCAAGGTTTCGCCCTGCCTGGAATTGAACTCAGGTCTCTCGCTTGCAAAGCGAGTGCTCTAACCACTGAGCTACAGGTCTCCACATTAACCTGTTACTACACTTGATGGTCCCTTTTCTGCTCCTTCTTTAAGTATCATGAAGGAGCAGAACTAATAATGAAAGTGGATCAGCTCAAATGTGTTACCGCTGATACATTTTAGTGCCTCCAGAGAGAAAAACTAAATCATCACTAATCGGATGAGGTATCAGAGAGCTACTGACACTTATAACACTGTATCCCTCTATGAATCGCCTCATTGAGGAAAGGTGGGTTGAAAAAGAAGAACAGAGTAACTGAAGAAAGGTAAACTGATTTGATGGATACTGGATTAATGTCACTTCTGGGTCGTTTGACTCAAACACTGACACATAACAGCATAGAAGAGCAACAAGTCTCACAGAAAACTTTAACAAACTTGAAATGGGCTAATATAAAGTGCCTGGGTTTGGCACAATTCCAATCAGTTTTGTTCAGATATGTTTGTTCTTTCTGGTATGACATAATGCTGCATTGTGCCACAATCAGCTGGTATCGAGCCGCCTGCAGTTCCAATAACAAAGATGGCTTTTTCTTCACTCGTGGTCAAAGAGGAGAAAAAGAAAGTGATAAAGAAGAAAGGAGGGAACAAAACATGCATTTATACTCCATGTAACGCAGGATTTTCTATTTTAAAAATACTTTGCGACCAACTGGATGGACCACAATAGCGTTTTCTGATGCTTTACATTCCTAAATATAGCTTATGCTCCTTCAAGAGGTAAATCTGAGCCCACTGAA